GAGGACAGGAGAACGTACAAGCTTGCGCTAGAGTACATCACTCAAGCAGATAATCCTCCGCCGATCCGCTCAGAGGGGATCAACCTTATATCCGGCCTAGTGGCCTCTGATAGTTCCGTCTTGGACGTACAAGCCACTCTCGTTCTCCTTTCGTCTCTCCTTCAAGACAGCGAGGACTTCATCAATCTCAGGGTTGTGAAGCTTCTTACCCAGCTGGCCAACAAACACCCTAAAGCAACCACACAAGAGATCCTTGAGCATTACCTGGATTCGAAGGAAACATCGTCAACGGATGTCCGTCTGCGCTTCGGAGAGGCCTTGGTTCAAGTGATTGAGCGCCTCGGCGAGACTTTTGCTGGTGACGTTGCGAGGCGCGTGTCTGAAACGTTGCTGTCGATTGCTGGAAGGCGAGGTCATCGACCAAAGACGGAGGCAAAGCAGTCCAGGGAGAAACGACTGCAGGACATGAAAAAGAAGCAGGCGGAAGACGCCTGGGGAGGAGATGTTCCAGATCTCAGTGATGATCTGACCGAAGAAGAGTTGGTCAAGAACGAGATACTGACCCAGATTGTCGAGGGTTGGGAAAGCAAGAGAGGCAGCGAAGACGTTCGCATGCGAGCATCTGCTCTTTCCATCTTCTCCATCGGTCTCGAAACCAACATTGCGGGCATTGGGCCGGACCTCGTTTCCATCGCGGTGGACCTCTGCATCAATGTGTTGGCACTGGAGCGAGAAATCGAAAAGGGCATCATCCGGCGTGCAGCAATCTTGGTTGTTCTAGGATTCGTCAAGGCACTTGATTCTGCCAAGCAATCTGGTCGGAAGCTCGGTTTCGGATTGACTGATCAGAGCCGGGAGGATATCACGAGGACTCTGAAGTACGTCGCAGTCACGGACAACGACGGTCTAGTCCAGCAGCACGCCCGAGATGTGATTGAGAGCTTGGAGAATTGGCAACTGTCTTCAATGGTCGCTTCGGGATTCAATACCGGAGAACCAAGTATTGGACGACTGGCAGGCTTGACCATTGACCAAGACCGATCACTGCCTTCTGTCAATACGAAGCGTCCTAGAATAGAAGAAATTGAGTAGTCTAGTCAGGAAATTCCTGACCTGCCTGCTCGTTGAGCAAAATGAATAAAGACGTGTGGAATAACGTGTTGAGCGGTTCGGACTTGCTCTAGCTGAAGACCCCAGTAAGAGTTTCGATCAAGTGTTTGAGCGATCCGGGCCACACCGGCTAAAATAGTGGGACCGGACACCCGACTTACGGAGCTCACATACGAACATAATATGCACTTTGTGGCATCACGTGATATCGCGTTATCCGATTGTCGCATCGCGCAACAACGATAGGCACTTTAAACTGTTGGGGGACTTGTTCATGTACACAACAGTACCTTTCATAATTCGCCCCCGAGCTAGGCGCGTGCCTCGACCCTCCCCACGTCGCGATCTTCTCGCCACACCGCGACAATGGCGCCGGCCCGAATCATCGCGGACTCGGATGACTCCGACGACGATTTCGACTCACGAGACACTGCCCCGAAACCTACGACTTCCGCGATACCGAGCCAAGGCCGCTCCTCCGACCCCGTGAGCGTCGCGACCAACTCTACCGATCCCAAGTTCTTTCAAGCGATCTACACCGAGCAGCAGCGTGCGGCAGCCAACGACACATTACCAAAGCCAGACGGATCATCCGCATCAAACGGTGCAGCACCCAGCTCCATGCCAGCACAGATCAAACCGCAAATGGAGAGGAGTGACACTGGTACCTCGTCGCTCACCTCAGCCAGCGATCTCATCGCGGGGCTGGATAGTCCCGAGGAACAGGAACCAGAGGTGGTGGACCTTACGGAAGTCGCATCGCCCAAGATGCTCGCCGCCCACGCGACTCCCGACGACATGTGGGATATTCCCAGCAGCCCGGTCGGCGGCCGAGCGCCTCTGGCCAGCCTCGCGAAGAGCAGAGCATCAACCAGTGGTACGAAAAGGAAGCGAGGGAACAATGTGGAATTCACATCCCCGGTAGCTATCGAAATGCCTTCGCAGGGCTCCACACAGCCGTTCGACGCTACTCCTGCAGCGAGGATGGAGAATGGGAAGAGAACGAGACTCAGGAACCCGGACTTATCTTTGTCGGCTGAGGACGACGACGTCGACATGGTGGTGGTACCACATGCAGCCGCGGTCCTGTCGTTTGGCGATCTGGTTTCGGGTCAGAAGCCAGTTTCGATGTACATCGAGTCCCAAACACTGGGTGCGAGTCAAAAGTTGGAATATGAATATCACTCGGTTGGCCCGTCTCCAGAGGATCCAGCACTCACTCCTACTCAGCCATTTTCGACTCTTCAAGCTGCGGCTAGGTCAAGCGGGGCTACAACTATCGCATACTCCACGCCGAGCCAGACTCGAGTGATTGGCTTGCCTCCGGCACCAGCCGAAGGTCATGTCACACTGGACACAGTTCACGAGCAAACTCAGGAAGGTTTCGGGGTGTCAGTCGATCCAGAGGCGACAATAGAGATACAATCTTCACCAGATATAATATCTGCATCATCAGTACGTCGGAATAGGAAGAACTTGAGGGAAGAACCCCCAAAGACGACAGAGTCTCACCGAGAAGACGACGGCTGGGATTCAGACGCCATCGGCTTCCCTCGAGAATCATACAAGCCTCGTCTAAGCCGACGCAGAGCTAGTGACGCTAGCCGGCAGGACGAGGCTGAGGTGTTAGGAAGCACCGAGATTCCTGTCGCCGATATGGGCCCAGCCGCGCAACTGCCCTTGGAGGAGCCCATTTCGACGAGCACAACGAAACCAAAGAAGAGAGGACGGCCGAGAAAGTCGGATGCTGCTGCAGTGAAAAGTCCGGCACCCACTGAGACCTCGGCCACCCCACGGACCACCGAGGCAAGCGAGGCCGTGAAGGATTCCACAGGAACAGAAGCTGCAACGGCGGCTACACCGACGACCAAGAAGAAGCGCGGGCGGCCAAAGAAGGCGGACAAGAACGCAGTAGAAAGCGTGCGGCAAGCGACTGAAAAGCCACACCATGCACCTGAAGTGGAGCATACTACGACGGAGGGGAAACATGCGGGCGATGCCCCATCGGGCAAGGCGGCAAAGCGCAGCAAGGGCGAGCACGTTGATACGCAGCAAGGTTGCACAGCAGACGCGGGCAGCGGCCCCCGAGAGAAGGGCAGCACTGGCAGCAACGATCGGGTGCTGCAGCCAGTGACGCCTAATGCGGCGCTCAGCAAGTCCGGTTCCGACGGACTGGGACCGCAGAGCGCGGCAGCAGCAGCAGCAGCAGCAGCAGCAGAGGGGAAAGTAGCGTCGGCGACGGATGGCGACAAGTCTGGAACGGCAGGCAACGCTGAGGGAAAGCAGAGGTTGTCGACGCCTGCATCTTCCTCGGCGACGAAGCCTATTTATCGGGTGGGACTCAGCAAGAGGTCGAGGATTGCGCCGTTGCTCAAGTCACTGAAGAAGTGACTGGTGATGGAAGTCCTACAGGGATTCCTGGAATGAATTGGATGGGCGGCGCCATGGTCTGTGATATTTTTACACATTTTCTCACGAGATACCCAATGACATGGGCAACAGGCGTTGGCAGGCCAGCGATATGATGGATATTCGGGTAGTATCCGGATGACACGCAGTACCTCATGCTTTATCGATCGAGGGTATTCGTCTAGGTCAATTAGGCCGATTGGCTATGTATCGGGTGATGCGGCACGCCTTGGTGATGTGAAGGGCGAGTGCGCGGTCGAGTACCAGATAGTGAGACACGATGTCTTGGAGTATCACAAAACGAAGCAATGAATATGCCCTCGAAGACCTCCGACGGTCTTCCGTCACAAACGTCTTTTGCATATTCATCTTGACAAAACGTGTGGCTGCGATACCAGCTGAGTCATAATGAAGGAATTGAAAGCCATGGCAGCATCAGCCGCCGTGCAGCAGGGCGATGGCTCTATCGACTATTGACATGCCATGAGCCCCATTGGGAAAGAGGGATGATGGAGGGGCATCCAGTCTGGTGGAGGGGCATAAGTGTCAGGACTCAGTAGCCGCCCTTTGGCATAAGCTATTGCATGTTGCAGTTTGTTGGATGGCGGATTATGGCACGGGTGGACTCCTCGGCGCCGACATGCCACTATTCAAAGACGAAGAAGGATTGACTCTCGGAGGGCTGAATGAGCTGAGTGAAGAAAAGAGAGGTTGACAACATGATGGGCAGGACCGAAGTTGGATGTTGAGGAGCACGCACGGTCAGCTGTCAGCCCCTATCGATGAAAGATGAAGGCGCCGTCTAGGAAGAATCGACAGGGCAGTCATTGACCAATTAAACGACGCAATTTGAGCATCCCACAACCCACCAATCCCGGCACCTTGGCGTCCCGTCATTGTTGAATTATGTCAGTCGGCGGTCGCTACGGAGTACCTACAGGCTACCTGATGGCAGGAGTGTGGACATGGGCAACCCCGCGCCCCTTTGGCTCTTTTCATTTTTGGTGCGGGGCAAATTACTCACAATTCCATGACTGAGAGGAGGAGGAGGGGCAGGGGCGGACGCTGTCACACAGTCACAGCACCACAGCACCTTGAGGGGTGACCGACTCGTCGAGACCGACTTTCGGCCGCTTGTCGCTGTTGCTGTTGCTGTTGCTGCCGCAGTGCCGCGCTGCCACTGGTGTGTGACTCGCCCTCTCTCTTTTTTTTCTTGCCCTTTTCGTCCGACTGCTCCAAGATCTCAACGCCATCCTCTTTTCTCTCTCACTCTAGCTAAAAGAGATCTTGCATTTTTTTTTGCAGAGACAAGAGACCAAGTTCTCTTGCCGTCTTCTCCCTCTCTTCCCCTCTTTTCTGTGCTGCAATTGGGCTTCTTCCACCCCCCCCCCCCCCCCCCCCCCCCTCTCTTTGATTCTGCCCATTCCACCTCAACTCCCCTCCTTCACCGCATACCGCATACCGTATACGCAGCTATCACCATGGCCACCAACGGTACCAAAGGCGAGGCCGTCGCCGACACCACCCACACTACCTCCCAACGTTATCTCAGCACCCGTGGAGAGGACAGCGGTGTATGATATCCCCCTTCTCCCCACCACCGCCTGCGCATGCCTCCCCCTCAAAAGCCGCCTTCGCCCTGGCGCGCGCGCGCGCATCGTTGGATGCCATACTCGAGGCCACGCAATCGCTGACCGCATAACCCCAGTTCTCCTTCGAAGAGGCCGTCCTCAAGGGCCTCGCGAGCGACGGCGGCCTGTTCATCCCTGAGCACATCCCCCAGGTCGATGACTGGCAGTCCTGGAAGGACCTGGCCTTCCCCGACCTCGCCCACAAGATCCTGTCTCTCTACATCTCTCCCTCCGAGATCCCCTCCGCCGACCTCAAGGGCATCATCGACCGAAGCTACGCCACCTTCAGAGCTCCCGAGACCACCCCCTCCGCCACCTCAACGACAACCTCTACCTCCTCGAGCTGTTCCACGGCCCCACCTTTGCCTTCAAGGACGTTGCTCTGCAGTTTCTCGGCAACCTTTTTGAGTACTTCTTGGTGCGCAAGAATGAGGGCAAGACAGGAAAGGGTATGCTATGCGCCTTCGTCGCAGGATCTTGCGGGCCACGGCCTCAATGATACTATGCTGTGCCAATTGGGACATGTGGGACTAACTAACACGTTGCGCAGACAGACATCATCTGACTGTTGTCGGTGCCACGAGCGGTGACACCGGTTCTGCCGCCATCTACGGTCTGCGAGGCAAGAAGGATGTCTCCGTCTTCATCCTTCACCCCAAGGGCCGTGTGAGCCCCATCCAGGAGGCTCAGATGACGACCGTCTTGGACGAGAACGTCCACAACCTTGCTGTTACTGGCACCTTTGACGACTGCCAAGTAAGTCTTGCGCCCGCGCGCTTACACCACCCCCTGCCGAATGGCATTCCCTAACCCCCCCCCGTTACCTAGGATATCGTCAAGGCTCTCTTCGCCGATTCCGACATCAACTCGACCCACAACCTCGGTGCCGTCAACTCCATCAACTGGGCGCGTATCCTGGCCCAGATCGTCTACTACTTCCACTCCTACTTCTCCCTCGTCAAGTCTTCCGAGACCTTCAAGCTCGGCGACAAGGTCCGCTTCGTCGTGCCCACGGGTAACTTTGGCGACATCCTCGCCGGTTACTTTGCCTACCGCATGGGTCTGCCCGTCGACAAGCTCGTCATCGCGACCAACGAGAACGACATCTTGCACAGATTCTGGACGACTGGCAAGTACGAGAAGCAGCCCTCTCCCCCCGCGGAAGCCGCCGGCGGCCTGGCCCAGGACGGCGTCAAGGCGCACGAGGATGGCGTCAAGGAGACTCTCAGCCCCGCCATGGACATTCTCGTCTCAAGTAACTTTGAGCGCCTGCTGTGGTTCCTGGCCTACGAGTTCGCCTCTAGCGCCGGCATGGACGACGAGTGGAACAAGAGGCAGGCCGGCCAGGAGGTGTCTTCCTGGCTCAAGGACCTCAAGACAAAGGGCGGCTTCGGCCCCGTCTACCAGGACGTGCTCAACTCGGCCCGTCGCGACTTTGAGAGCGAGCGCGTCAGCGATCCCGAGACCGTCGAGACCATCAAGAGCTACTACAACAAGATTGGCTACGTCCTGGACCCTCACTCCGCCATTGGCGTGTCTGCTTCCGAGCGATCCATCGGCCGCGCGGGCGCCGAGGTGCCGCACATTTCGCTTTCCACGGCCCACCCTGCCAAGTTTGCCGGCGCCGTTGACCTGGCTCTCAAGGACGAGGAGGGCTTCGACTTCAAGGCCAAGGTCCTGCCGTCAGAATTCGTCGGCTTGGAGGAGAAGAAGAAGAGGGTGACGGAGATTGTCAACGACTGGCAAAAGGTGCGGGAGGTTGTCAGGGCGCAGGTCGACGAGGAGCTCAAGGCCGCCGAGAGCTGAAGTTTTGGAATACCAATGAGTGGGAGCATATAAACAGCATTAGAAGCATGCCAGGTTTGGCCTGGACTTCCCACAAGTTTCTTCCTCCAAATGAGCGAGAACTTGTTTTGGGGAGGAAAGCCAGAGCATACAAGGCAGGCACAAACAAAGAAGAGAAGGCGCTTTTTTTCTTTTCTTTTCCGGTATGGTTTACTGTGGTTTTGCGATTGGGGCATTTCGGTTACGGCATTGATGTCTCTCCTGATTTAGTTTCTTTCGTCATGCCCATAGAGGAAGAGGGGGGGCTAAGAGACTGGCATGCATGCTGGAGAGGGGGGGAAAGAAGCGGTGATGTCGTCCGGATGGCAAAAAGGGTTGAGAGAGGGAGGGAGAGAGAGAGACCAAGAGAGTGGGCGCGCACTAGGTATTTGCATTGGGCGTTGCCTTGGCTGAAAGCCATTGCCATTCCACACTGAATGTTGTTTGAACAATACATACAAAAGCAACCCAAAGTACGCTCGCGCTCGTTCGAGTGGCGGATATCCCCCGTTTGAAGTACGGACAATGTTTTGAAGGTTTGCTGTGTGAATACCTTGCTCTGATGACAACACGACGTCTGGATGGGCAACCGAACGGGTGAGTTGAGATGAAGAGTAAGGTATGTAAGTAGGTAGGTATGGTAGGTATCTAGGTTCCGATGCCCGCCATCCGAAGTGTTGTTCATCCAAAACTGTATACCAAACGGCACATGCCAAACCATGTTCGAGAGGGCCATTTTTGATCTGCGCCTCCGGCTACTGCTACTACTGCCTCCGCCTCCGCGTCATCTCGATGGTGGTTTGTGTGATGTGAAATGCCGTTGGGAAACTTGAGTTTGGTAGTAGCCAAACGGATTGCGGGGACGGTGTTTCGTTGAGATGCCGGAGGCCACCGTGGTGGCGTCACGCCGGAGGGGAAGGCACTCCCGGAGCCAGACGGTCGATCTGGGACCCTCATGTCCGGAGGAGGAGTGGGGTTTGAGGGAAAGGAGGGGGAGGGGAGTCAAGGGGCGGTGGACGCCTTTCTTCGTTTCTTTTTGTTTGCGTTTGTGTTGATATTTAGTTTGGGATGCCCATGATGACGGGATGGTGATGGCGGTGATGAGATGGTGCTGGGATGGTGCTGGGGACTTCGGTGCTTGAGGTAGATTCCATGTGATGAGAGGAGGTGGGACCAAAAGTCTATAAGAGGCTGGGTTTCTCGTCACGGTAAATAGGTCCTTTGATAGATCATCCAGACATCACACACTTCGTCTTCATACTCAACTCAAACAATCCCAATCAACTTGTTCAACCTTCCGATATCACGAACATTCCTCATCATGCCTAACCAGGTCACCAAAGACGATGCCTCTCGCATCCAGAGCACCCAGGTTCGTCACTTCCCTCCCCCCCTTGGTCTATACCTCACTCTTTGCATGATCAGGGAGATGAGTTGGGTGGATTATCTCAGTGAGGACCGTCTCTCCCGATGCTGACACCGACGATTTCTATGCAGGACAAGGGCGGAAAGGACATGTCGTCCGGCGGCTTCGCCGCCAGAGCCCAGGGCGCGGGCGACAGAAACGCCAATGCCGGGCTCGGTGGCCAGGGCGGCGGTCGGGGAGGTCAGCAGACTGGTGCGAAGAAGTAGGACGGACCTCTCGGACGAAGGATTTCTACAAGGAGTCAGGTGGCGGTTGAATGATGCCTCTGAGTTTCCACGGAGCACCTAATCTCTATTCTCGACACTCGTTTGGACTTTGGAAGTTATTTATATGGCTTATCTATCTACCTAGCTCTTAAATAAGGTTGAGTTGGGAGTTTGGTGGTTTGAGATGATGTGACATGTGCCTTTTTCATTTGGAGAGACTGTTCTGTGTGTAATGGCTCTCTCGAGAGATAGAATACTGCTCTTCCGAGTAAATCGTACAGCCCACATGGACCATCTCTTCTGTGGTCCGAAGATGGGTAGGCCAAAGAGCCGATGGGATACTTTTCTGCAATAAGAGGCCTGGCGACATTGAGACTGATGGACTTTGGTGTATGAAGACGTCCTTTCCACTCTTCTTCCAGTGATGAATGGCGGACACAACCTGCAGTAGCCCGGCCCGATAGAGTTTGCCTGAGAGCAAAGTCCTTTCGTCTTCTACTCTCACATGGATTTACGAAGGAAGAGGCAACCCACGACTTGGCCAAGAGGGAGGGGTCTTCACTTTCAACCTAGAATTAAGCTGGAGGCAGAGTCGAATTCGACGGTTGATACTTATGCCTCAAGTGGCTCAAGTTATGCAAAGGGACCCGACATCATCGCGAAGACGAGATCTTATCCTGCGTGGAGGTTTCTAAGAAAAGTGAGCAATGGCCACATGTTCACTTCCTCCCTCTCCATGGAGCCAGTTCAGTATCACAGCGTCCAGTAGGATAATCTCAGCCGTCTACGGCCCCCAAATATGCAGAAGCTTGTCACGGTGTATTTGCCACCGCCAACAAGGCTACAGAAAACCGGGATCTCCGCCCCAGGCAACGAGACTTAGGACAGGGGAAAGCAAAGGAACAATATACAGGGCAACAGAAGAGAATGCTATTATCTGGCTGCCTCACTCGAAAAACAAGAGCAGATGACTTGAACTCTTCACATAAAGTTACAGGAATAGCATCCATCCTGACTGCTTTTGAGACATGGCATGACTGGCAAGAAACACAAGTCAAGGAAGAGGCTGACCAACCAGCTTCAAAGTGTACAATCCTAATCCGAGGTGCCTGACCTGACCAAGTTCGCGAGTTCCCATGTGGCAGCCTCGTGGAGGCGGTGTATACGGCCGTGTAAGACGTTTTTTGCCCAGTATCAAAGAAGGTTGCTCGTGGTGGTGGTCATGAAGAATTGATACGTACCGGGACCTGGGGCTTGGCGGGCGTGGGATGCGGAGAGGCAGCCCAAGCGCAGCCGCGGTGACCAGCAGGGGTTGTACAGTGCTCTGACATAGGTGAACGGGCTGGTAGAAAGGCACTTTAAGCACTGTATCCCTCCGATGACGGCGCTTGTTTACCGCAATGCGCCTGCTCCACGTGCCTCCAAGATCTCCAAGTTCCACCCCCAACTGTCACACCTCCAACTCGACATCATCCAAGGATCAACATCTAGACCACAAAGAACCAACCGCGCCGTTGTGCTCTCCTCATGCCGTGCCCTTTTTCCGATTCATGCAACCTCCAAACTAAGCAGCCTAGACCAACTTGCCCTCTGACTAAGTATCCCGCGAGGCCCGCAAGCAGACCCCCCGGGATGAACCGCCGCCGGGTCAAAGCTCAGCCCCCTGCCCCCCGGAGCTGGCCCCGAATGACCCCTCCTCCATCGTCCACCCCCCCTCTGGCTCTGGCGCGTGAGACATGCCACTCATGCGCTCACCACAAACGACCACCCAAGTCTCACCGCGCACAACTTGTGAGGCCGTCTACATGACCTTGCCTCGGACTCACACCTAGGTCAGCTAAATGGGCACCCGACAACCTCTAAACCTCTTCATCGTCAGGTTTTGGGGGGGGGGGGCGCCTCAATGTTGTACACACACCTCTCTCTTCCCTGGTCCCCACACTCTGCCCTGCAGGGTACCTTGCCTTAGTATGAACAAACCAAGAGAAAGGGAGAAAGAAAGTTGCCCATCTACAGCCAAGACACAAACGTGCTAGGTAGTCTTGTCTGTGATGCCTACTACCCGTTCAAAAGGGTCCAGTTCGTACCAAGTCTCATCATCGTGCCGCACCCTTCCAAACGGCAGCGCGTCAGCCACCGAGTCGGCGCCCATCTCCTTCTCTCGCCCACGCGCTTGAGCCTCGTGCCCTGTTGCCTCCTCTCCCGATGACTCGCAGCCGTTCCTGCCTCTTCCCTGCGCCTACTTGTTTCTAGGGAAATGTACGAAAGAGTGACAGATTCTAGTCTAGTGACGAACATCCCAGAGCTCTGGGATCCAAAGTCCTATGCCATGGCACACCACATAGAAAGCAGCCTACCTTGTTTGATAGGATGCCTCCCCCTTTTCTCTAGATAGAAGAACCAAAGGCAAGACGAAGCCCTACCCGCTCCTCCCGCTCCGCCATGCAGCCCGTCTCACCCGGTCCTCACTTGGGTTTGCGAGACTGAAAGTCTTCTGCTTTGATCACCTGCATGCCGCCCAAGCTCCCGTGGTCTGCTGTCTTTATCCCACAGATCTACATATCAAGGCCTCGATCTGCCCTTCTTGAACTCCCGTCGGTTTTCTGGCCTTCTCTCGTCTTTGTCAATAGTCTGAACCGAAATCTTGATACTGCTCTTAACGAAACCATCCAGTCCAACTTCAACTTCAACAGCCTCGCAGCAAACCTTTTGACTTACACAGACGACGTACACCCACCCAAGTCTGTCACTCTCAACAACCACGTCAAGAACGCAACACCAACAACCTCACATCGAATCCGCGACTACAGTCCCCGTAGACCGGATGGCCACCCGCCGGTGGTACCTCGAAACCTCCCCCGACGGCAAATACCAATTCGTCTCCCTCAAACGCTCCCGCTCCCACCACCACCACCGCCATCACCATCACCACCACGAAGAACCCGCTCCTCCAGCCCCAGCTCCATGCCCAACCCCAACACCAGCACCACCACCAGTCCACCGCTGCTGCCGCGACGACTGCGCACACATCACCGCGCCCGAATACAACGACCTCCTAGACCGCGAACGCAAGCTCCGCGAATCCAACGACGTCCTCGCGCGCGAAAACTACGCCCTAAAATGCAACCTCCAAGCCTCCGACATTGAAGGCCGCCGCCTCTCGGCCCTCCTCATCGCATCGCAGGCGGAGAACCAGCTCCTGCGCGAGGACAATGACGGGTTACGGCGCACCATTGAGAGCTCGGGCGGGAACGCGGGCAAGTACCTGCGCGAGGTGGAGCGCTTGAAGCATAAGCTGCAAAAGGTGGAGCGGGAGCTGGCGGCGAGGTTGAGGCACGGGTTGCACCATCATCATCATGGGATTGGTCACGGGGTGGCGGAACGGATTGAGGAGTTGAAGAGGGTTGTAAGGGCGTGGGAGGGCAAGTTTGATGTTGTGGAGGAGCGTAATCAGCGGTTGATGAGGGATTTGAATGAGCAGCGGTGTGTTATTGCGAGTCGGGATGAGAGGATTAGGGAGTATGAGAGGATTTTGAGGAGGCATGGGTTTATAAGGTATGAATGAGTGGGATGGGGTGGATGTGAGGGATATACGTTTTTCTCCTTTGGGTTTCTTCTTCTTCTTCTTCTTCTTCTTCTTCTTCTTCTTCTTCTTCTACTCCGTCTCTCCGAGAGATGTGGACTTTGAGCGCGGTTGAGGATAAGTGTCTTCAACAGCCGGAAAAGAGTCTCTTTCTTTGGCAGGACCATTTGGTTTGGGGTGATATTTCATGAGAAAGCCTCGTTGTAAGTTCTATTCCTCTCCTCGAGATATCATGCCTTGAAAAAGAGTACTGACGTTTGCATCTTCATAGGCTTCCATCAGAAATTGCAGGGCATCGTTCTTATTGGATTGCGATTTGAGATAGACTTTTTGCTGACGATGGTTCATTGGATACTCCGTCATGCAGGCACTGCAAGATGGCTATTGGGTACGCTTATTGGAGCATCGCAGTTCCCGACCTTCGCTCACGACACCTTTCATTTGTTGACAACGGCTTTACCGGCATGGTTATATGGGTTTGAGCTTGGAGACATTCCATCAAGGGTATTTTTGAGGCGGATCATGGACAGACGGAGAGATAAATTGCCATCTCACACTGCTATTCATTTCATGTGGTAGGTAGTCTTGCTCGTGTTAGCTACATCACTCAATCTCCCAAGCCTTTTCCATTCATCTTGCAAGCATGAAAGCCGAGAACTCTCTCCAACACTTGTTACTATGTTGCACTTCAGCGTATGCCGAACCTCTCTGCAGCGAGGCAAACCGGCGTTGCGCCTCTTGCGACACTTGGGGCCACTTTGAGATGAACACACGTTTTCCATGACTAACTTCACAGTTTTGAAATGGTTTGATTCATTCGAGAGTTATCGAGATCTTGATCGATGTTGGTCGTTCTACATATCTAGGCTTGGGTCGACGGATTAGGTGGAAGAACAAACAAAACGATATATGCCATTTTCACTTTGAGCTTTCATCAAAATTACCATAAGTCAGAACATGGAACCACAAACCAAAAGTCTCTCAAAAAAAAACCCCCCCAATCTCATTGTGCGGTGGTGGCTGTCGGGGGGTGAGACGAACGACGGGCACCGGGTCACCAAGTCAGCTGTCTCGAACCGAGACAATGGGCCAGACTAGATAGACCCCATGACGCCATCCCGTTTCTTTCGTCCCTCCTCCAAAGATTACCTCCAAATTTGGTACCCGCATTCTCTACCATAGGACGGAGTACCTAGGTACAGCCAACAGCTCGGGATACCACTCTGGGGGATACGAAGGAAAGGCCTGTCAAAATGCAAGGGTTTTCAATTTGTGTAGGCTATAGCTGTACCCCGCCCCCTCCCCCGCCCATGGCCACGTCAAATCAGACGTAATGGTGTGCAGCGTAAGGCTGCAGCGTTGCCTTGGCGCCGGGGGAAGAGGGGAGAGAGTAGGACTGGCGTTACACAAGCCGTGGCAGCGCGCGAATGCGCGATTGCGCAAAAATGGCGTTGCGCGCAAGCAGGTATGCGCGTCTGCAACGGGCTACATACAGCGCAAGGATCGATATCCTTGTTGTTGGCCTCACCTGGCTGGCCCTCCTCTTTCTTTCAAGAGATCATTCTCCCCAACTCAGTAATTTCTATTACGACGCAGGATAAGATAGATAGAAAAGATAGATTACCAAAAGTGCAAAAAGCTCGGCCCCCTATAATAGGGAGCCTACGAAAGATCCGAGGAGACTCTTACCAGCCTCAGGTGTAATGATGCAGGGATTTTTACAAGTAGATATACGAGACTCGAACCCGGGACCTATGAGTGCGGGGCTATTCCGTCAAAGAGACATTCCCCGCTACGTCAAATGCCTTGGAGATAGTATTGAACAATTTTTTTTTTAATTATAGAGGTAGGCAGGTGCAGGTTCACAAGGTGGCGTCGACAGGATTGATCCGTGGTTGGGAAGGAGGGGCCGAAAAAGGTGTCAAACAACCAAAGAAAGAGTACTTTTATCAAGACAGCAGAAGTATCCACCTATAATGTATAAACACATTGTGGAAGATGTATCGAACAACCGTCCTACGCCCGAGCAATCAACGATAAGGTAGAAATAAAATACAAACAGAGGTAAGCAGGTAGGTAGGTATTCGGGGTGTATTCAGGGTTGCGTATGCCAGTTCAAGTTATGCGCCCGAGGCCGGGGTCGGTCGTGAATATACCCCCTCTCACCTTGCCAGAGTGCTGACACCGAGGTGAAGCGTACTCGGTCATCCTTGGGGTTTCAGCCGCAGCCGCAGCCGTACATCGGAACCATCAAAACTTCCCTGCAAAACGATCACACGCTCGTCTCTCGCTTCAGCAAGCGCGCGAAGGACCAGAAGTGGGAAGTAATCCGCGAGGCACAGAATCAACATGGGAGGGGTGCAGCCGAGAGAGGGTGAGTGAGATAAGCACGCAAAACTGGTCTGCGGCTGAGGAAACGAACCCCTTCCACTCCTTTCTATTTGGTATCTCATGTTTGTTCCTGGCTTTGTTTGAAGAGCAGACGTTCAGCTGGGCTCCCTTCCGCTTACCTACCATGTCAGCGAAACCGGGTGGGGAGGTATGTAGCTGCTGGACGTGGTTTTTCTTTCGATGGCGGTCGATGAGGCCCCAACAACCACCACCTTCTTAGGAATATCATATTGGTAGAAGCCTTGGCGCGAGCGATACCATCGACCTCCGAAGACGGGTGTTCTGAAAGGTGACGAAGACAAAACAGGCAGCCATCTTCACCATCTTCACCATCTTCATCGCTTGTGGGCAGATAGGAAACGTTTAGTGGGTACCCCAAGTACGTACCGCCAAGGGTTCCCCAGGCAGGGGGGGGGGGGGGGGTCAAGGCTGCCCGGCACTCCACTTTCCTTCCGTCGACAAATCAACTTACACCTTTCCTGCCGTCCGTCTTCCCCGTCCCTCCACTTCCACGGAGTTCCAAAGCGAATTGGAAATTCCAATACCTTCAAAGCACTTGGAGGAACATTGAAGGAACTTCGCATTTCACAATGTTCCCACCATTATTTCCCTCCCGATTCAGCCGTTGATTTCTAAGTTCTGCTTTGAAGATAGCAGGCAGCGGACGCTCCAGTGCGACGAGACTCGACAAAGTACCTGTGGACTTTGGGCATGATGAGAGACAACTCCGCCGATCCTGTAACAGCAACCTCTTTCATGGTATCTAAAGATTTATCTTGACTATTGAGGTATCGAATTATCAACCATATTGATTTGAATAGACGATATGTATCTCCCTAAGGTAGGCGAGCAAACCACACAAGACTAGAGCCCGCCAACCTCTGAGAACACGAGAAACGCACGTGTCGCTCATCGTTTCATGTCAACATCTCCGTGCTGATATCCAGATGAAAAACGCAAGGTGCAATACTTAGAATGACAACACTACCGCAGAAGTTTCAGTCTGCCGAGGCACAGTCATAAAAAGTACCAAGCATGCATCCTCCCAGGCGAGACTCGTACCCCACGTACCTACACTCCATATTTCGCCTGAGCTGTCGAATCGACCTTCTCAGAGAGAATTCAAACTTTCCGGCTGCAGAACAAACCAACGCATCGCTTGCATGCCCGATATCCCGCCGAAAGCCGAGTCACACGCGGGGGGGGGGGTGGGCCGACCGGATCCAGCCCCGAGTAGTAAGAATGTCTGAAAGCCTTGTGGGAACTCGAAACTTGGAAGGACTCACAATAGGATCTACATGCCTTGGCAGAACACGCAATGCTGTCTTTCCTATTTGTTCCAAGAGCACAAATGCGCCCTGGACATTCCGCGTCTAAACGTGAACGAGGTACGAGGATGGTGACTAGCATAAACGGAAGGATTCCTACGCTAGAGGCACGTAGTCGGCGAACTCGGGGACTCTTCACTCAAAGCCGGCGGCCCGTTGTCTAGGCCCGCTGCCGTGGGGGCCGGATGGTCTATTGGGCGGGGAAGCTTTCCTGTGATATCCATTTGCGCGCGCTTAAAAAGCTCTCGTTTCAGTGAGGTTGTGGATTCCAGCATTTCCGTACGGGTTGTACGGGTTGTACGGGCTTCATCCCGATCCAGCCCTGCTTTCGGAAGGCAAAGAGGTAAAAAGCCAAGAGTTGCCTTGCCGCCAAGGGAATGATACCGCCATCTAGGAACATCTCGAGATGGTGGATCAGGGGGTGGGTACCTGCCTAACCCGTCGAAGCTAGTAGAATCGGTTCATGGGAAAGTGTAAAAAGTACGCCACATGCTCCTCGAGATATGCATTCTTCATCCTTTGACTGGAACCTGATATCTATATTTGAGGGTTGTGGGGGGTTGTGTCGTGATCTGGCCTACCTGGGCCTAGTACTATCGTGTCTCCCAGCCCTATAGAATTGGAGACTGAGACTAAGGTAAGGTAAGGTAAGGTTGGTAAGTTCTGCCTACGGATACGGACAGGTCTAGTGTACGAGGAGCGTCCGGCTTCTCCCACCTTCTGCCAAGACACGATGGCGGCCAGGTTCTAGACGGCTGGCGCCTGGAGTCTAGTACGTACCTTAGGTAGACGGAGTAAGGTACCCACGGTGTTTCCCTGAGGTGACGACTGAGAATGTCAGCAATTAGAGCTTTTGGAGGGCAACAAGGAATAAGCTTCATTGGTCGTCGTCCGATGCTGCCATGCTGGGCTGTCAAGATTGTGTTTGGCAGGGGACTGCCTGCCCTGTAGGCTGTGGCTACCTTGCGTTGGTTAGCCCGTGGGGCGGTGTTCCGTTAGTCAGGTCTGTGCTTTAGCTGCCCGCTGGACGTCCACAGACCGCAGCAGCTTTCCCCACTGGACCTCACTTCATCCCGTCACTCAACACCACCACCACCACCACCACCACCGTCATCATCTGCGTACGGAGTACAGCCTACAGCCTGATCACCACCTCATGGGAAGTAGGTACGGCTCGCGGCGTTCCTCCCAGCGAACACATCATCGTGTCGGAATTGATCGATCCATGATCAGGTCGTCCATTGGTGCCCTCGAATGATCAAGATCGATCATCGGAACAAAGGTGCGAAAACAAACATGCCACAGTTGGCCAGTCCTGCACCGAGCACATCAATAGAACATATTGGCCTCAGTCACCAAACAATCATCTTCAAAGTCACGAATGAATCGCGTCCTGTCGCGGGGTGACTCACGACGCGGTTTCGGCTCCTGAGTCCTCCCCCCCCATGACCTTCCTTCCGTCTGCGAGGTGGGGTGGGGTCTTCGCGATGGCCTCACAGTAGGTAGTCTACACACGACGATCACTTTTTTTTCCCACCATCATGGCGAAGCTATTGGCCGCGAGGATAGGCATGCAAACGCGATACGCATATCATCATCCTGGAGATCGGACGAGGGAACAAAGAAACAGGTTCGGGGGCGCAGACATCGACGCAGAAGCATACGTATACGCAGACGCAGACGCAGACGCAGAAAGGGCCTGCAGGAACGAACCGCAGGAAAGGACCGCACAGCGCCAAGAGAAAACCCGTTGACCGTTCACCCGTTGACGTTCTCACCTTTTGTTGTGCGCAACGGCGATATTCTTTGGCGGCGGAGAGGCTCCGTCTGCGACAGGCCCCTCACTTGAGGCCTCAGTAGCGAGGACTCAGGACTGCGTGCTGCGTGCTGCGTGCTGCGTGCTGCGTCCTGACCTCACCTCACCTTACGGTGCTGCGACTGGTCTCGACTAGCGACGCACGCAAACGAGTGCTTCGTCCTCTCCCTCTGGTCCCCCTCTGGCTCTGGGGCTGCAAAAGCAAGATGCGGGAGGCCAAACGCTGTATGGACAGCGCAGCGGCAGCGTAGCCTGCCTTGAGGGGAGGGAGAGAGAGAGAGAGACAGTCGTGGGTTGGGCGAACCAATCTCCCGGGTACGCAGGCGTGGCTGGCCGCATTTGCGAACCATTCCGGAGACACATTGTCACACACAAAACGACAGGCACACTGGGAAATAAGGCGTCCCACAAGAAAATCCAGCAAAACGAGGCAACGGGAAAAGTGCGTTTCTGCCTTGTTGGCTTGCTGGCCCTGCTGGCACCTGCACCGCCCATCAGAAGTACGCCAATGAGAGCAGTTGCTGCCACCGAGAATTCTGGTCAACTGAACTCGAGCAATGCCCACCCCCTTTTCGGTTTGTCTGGTCTGTCCGACTTGGTTGAGGTGGGCTGTGGTGGGCTGAGGTTGGCTCAAGGGGATCATCTTGGGAACAGTCAGCAGAAATGGGAGTTGATTCCTGGTCAACCTCTTTTTCCACTTTGTTTTCTGCTTCACCCAAGGCAATCCACCGGACGGACTCACTCCTCTCACCACTGGATTGTCACTGCCACTGTCACCGTCGCAGTAGTCACTGTCGAGTCTCTTCCCGAGTCCCGCTCCCCTCTTTCACCCGTCCCCGTTCCCATCCACACTCTTTTTGACCAAAAACCCCTGTCAGTATCCCCCCTTTCGTCCCCTTGTATCCGTTACGGCACCCAGCCCAGTCCCTCCCGTCATGACATCCCTGCTCAAAGGGTGAACCCGCGATTCCGCCGTCCGTCCTGCCTAGCGAACTGCTGCGGGTACGGAGTAGGAAAAGGAAGGCTCGAGGTGTGTGAGTGAGCCTGTGAGGTGAGGGGATTTGGGGGACCCGCGATGCGATGACTCTACCTACTCACCTCACCTCGGACACACGCACTCACTCACGCACTGCGTAACTGCAAAGTCGCAAAAAGTCTGCAGCCAAGAGGCAACCAAACTGGGCTAAGCAGCTCCAGCCCTACATGGCCACTACCGAAGGAATACCTGTGGAATGTTGCTAATCTCCTTGTGCCTCGGAGCATCCTGAGTCTCTGCTCCGTACCTTAGCCTACGCACTTCGTACCCTACATGCCTACATGCCTACCTTACCCTACGTACCCGTTCCCGTACCCTATGCCTATGGCATGGAAGAATGAAGTATCTGTATTGTGGCTACGTACCCGGTTGCGGTTGCGGTTGCAGGGGTTGTTCGTGCGTTCTCCCTTTGCATCACAACTTTGCTGTCTGCCTCTCTTAGCTCCGGAGGCACAGCAATGCAATCCACTGCCAGTCACCCACACCAAATCCATCTGTCATTCTCCCTCCGCCTCCGGCTGCAACTTTTCCTCTCCGTGAAGGCTGCAATACCTACTTTTACAAATCTGGATAAATAAAATGTCAAAAGACGCCGCTTCTGCCTTTTTCTCCCCCCTCCCCTCCCTATTCATCCCTCAGTTATTACCTGCTCATTTCAGGTTGCGGCTATCATTTTCTCTATCCCAGACCAAAATAACACCCGGTCCCATCTTGGGCAGCATTCACCCCCTTATATACCCGACTTGACTCATCTTGACAAGGCACACACGACAAGTATTAACCCGCGCCTACCACCACACCACCCACATTGAATTTCAAAAAAATTCCAATTCTTTCTCTTTTCCAAATACACAGATCACCATCGGATCGCTCACAACGGACATTTCGCTCTCACTTTAGTCGCGCCAGTCTTCGGCGAAAAGGCGTCTTGCCTTGGACATTGGTTTACACCGTCAACTCACAACCCGACCGTTGATCGACAATTCCACGGCCGCCCAGCGCCGCCCAATAACCACCAACCATGTCGTCCGCCAACAGAAAGGAGCCTCGGGTCACCTTCCAGACCCCGACCTCAAAGGGCCACCACCACCGCCAATCGAGCGACTCTGGCATTTCCGAAGTCAGCACAAGCCCTACCGCCCAGGACTTTTTCGACCTCGAGGAGAAGTACAAGAAGCTGCAGGACGACTATGCCCTACTCAAGAGCGAATACAAAGCCCGCTCCGCTGCTCTGGAGAACAGACTTGAAGTTCTCAAGATCGAGAATGGTAGCTTGGACCGTGAAAAGGAAAACTTGCGCACTGAAAACAAAATCCTACGGGAGGATCTCCGCAAGGCCCAACGCAACAGCCCCCCTCGAGAGTCGACAAAGATGTCTGGCGCACTTCCTAGCCACCCGCCCTCTCCAAAGGAACACAAGGAGAGAGAGCACAGGGAGCCCAGAGAACACAAGGAACCCAAGGAGTCCAAGGCCTTGCGTCGCAGCGACTCTAAGCACCGCACCCGCGGAGAGAGCAAGGTTCGCAAGACCACCGAGGACAAGGAGCTCGCGAAGCGCTGCAAGGAAGACAAGGAGCGCCTCGGCCGTCGCTTCGACCACAAGGACGACAAGAGCGTCTCCAGCGGAAGTTCGAGGGCTAGCAAGAGCAGCTACATTGAGCCCATGGGCCCCAGCGCTCCTCGGCCCGTTTCCGTCGTGGAGCCGTCCCGTCCCCGTACCAAACGCTCCGAGTCCACGTCGTACTCGGTCAGACCTTCCGTCATCACGACCACAACTGTCACTGATCCCTCTGTATACGACCCGCGCTCTCCAGGCTACGCGGACCACGAGAGTCCTTTCGGCTATGACGCTGGTGCATATGGTCATGGTCATGCACAATACGTTGAGGATGGCTATTACGCACAACCTCCAGAGCCCTCCCGCGGGAGGTCGCGTCGGTAAAGCATCCGACACAAGCAAGCAAGAAGCAAAAAAAAAGAATTGGCCAAGCCCTGTGTGACACACCACCAACAGGCAAGGGTGATTTTTTTTTCTTCTTCTCCTTCGCTGCGGGAAAATACGTTTACGATAGTCTGCATTCAGCCACAGGAAATTCTTCATCCCCTGGCAAACGCAGCCTCCAACCGATAAGGCGGTGCGGGGAGGGAGGCTTGAAAAGCGTTCTTTTTCTGCGCCCTTTCTCCAAGACGGGATGGGCGCTTTGAGGCGACAGGTGGACCCCCGCACCGAGTCCGGGCGCAAAAATCTCACTTGATAGTAAGGGGATGAGACGCCCGATTGACGCAATGAGTCGGTTGACTCATCGCTCGTTGAAATTCTTCGGCGAACTTGGCCGTTTCCCGAGGCCAATTGTTTATTTCAAGAGTCGGAAATCCGCCTCCCTCCTCGAAAAGGGGGGGGTTTTTTTGGTTTCCTTTTTTCTTCAGTCATGTATCAAATCCTGTACTAGCTCTCTCATGTCAACAACTCGATACCCAATACCCAATACCCTTTCATGTTTTCCACGATATATCATCATCTATATACCTGAGTTTCATTCGAGGTCATCACATGTTTTCATCAATTGACGTCAATTGACGACATCCCAATATAACATAAAAATCTTTTAAAACAAACAGACAAACAATTGTCCCAATCCATATTAGCCATAAGCCGTATCTGAGCCCCCCGCCGCAACTATGAAGCTGTACCACTCCATCAACCCCGACCTCGCCGACTGGGCCGCCCGCCAACCCGTCTTCTTCACGGCCTCGGCCCCAACCCACCACCCCCACATCAACGTCTCCCCCAAGGGCCTCTCCGCCCACTTCGCCGTCCTCTCGCCCACCTTGGTCGCCTACATTGACCGCACCGGCTCCGGGTGCGAGACCATTGCCCACAGCTACGAGAATGGCCGGCTGACGCTCATGTTCATGTCGTTTGGCCCCGCCCCGCGCATCTTGCGTCTGTTTTGCAAGAGCAGGATCGTGGAGTGGGATCACCCGGACTTTGACTCGTGGATGAAGCGTATTATTCCGCAGGGTCCGCAGGGCAAGGCTGGTAATAGGGATTCGTATGATGGGGCTAGGGCTGTGGTCATTGGCGAGGTGTGGGAGGTGCAGACGAGCTGCGGGTATGGTGTTCCCATGGTGCGGAAGGAGCTTTATGCGCCTGCGACGGCGTCTGAGGACGGGACGCTTGAGAAGGCGCAGCAGCAGCAGCAGCAGCAGCATCACGACATTGTCGACAACGATAAGGATGAGCCCGCCAAGAGCAAAGACGAGCTCTCCGTCTTTGAGGAGCGACCCACACTCGACTTTTACTGGAAGAAGCGCGTCGATAATAATACCGTCAACAAGTACCAGGTCGAGACGAACCGCACCTCCATTGACGGCCTGCCTGGCTTGAAAGCCGCGAGGCGGGATGCCGGGGAGACGCTCTGGGTTGCGGATGCCAAGGCCCAGGTCTTGCGTGCTGCGAGGGAGACGCGTGGGGTTGTGTTGGGGGGTTTGATTGCTGTTTTGGTGTATTTGCTCACGGGGGTTGTGGGCGGCTTGGTGGTGAAGTGGCAGGCTTCGAGGGAGCATAATTGGATTTGGCCTAATTGAGATGGGGACGGGAAAGTTCGTGGGTGGGAAGTTGCTGGTCTGGGGTTTGGTTTGGTTTCGTTGAGGTTTGGATTTAAAAAGGATAGATAATTGAATATTAGTATGTGCGAAATACAACCTGGCTGCTCTAGTAAAGAACGTGGAGGAATTTCTTGTCACTTATGAAGCTATCGCGGAGTTCCAAGTACGGGAAGACAGAGAGAGAGCTTGGATTCGACGATGATCATCCCTCCTTCGCACTGCGAATAGAATCTAACTAAACCATTGCGAGTCTCGAATCGATTGATTCTATCTTCTGAGACTAATGCCTACTTCCTTCCCATACTCTTCGACCACTCGTGACTCGCGATCTTCGTAGACTAAGGTAAGCTTACTGGACCACCAACCACCAACCACCAACCACCACCTCTCCCGCCAAACCCTTCGCGCAGATCAAATTCGACACCACCTCCTCTGCAATGCACAATGATGCTGGTAACGGCGGGTGATATCGTCAAAACTATCGATATTGTGGATGGCGCGGGGGGGGGCAACTGCATCCAGCGAACCGGGTGTTGCGTCGCCCGTACCCTTCATCGCATCGTGGCCCTCACTCATTAGGCCCGTTGGGCAGAAACGCAGGTAGTGCGCAGGTACGCAGTAGCACCCACCTATGCCTTCTACTTGCTGCCCTTCCCGCACCTGCGAACCCGCATGCCGCGCTCTTCTTTAGCACGTGGGAATCGACCATGCGAGGTACAATCACTTTTCAAAACGAATGCAAAAAATTTCTTTGCCTTGCGTCCCTCTTTGGATCATCCCGTGCCTGCAGCAGGGGCGGCGGACTCGCGCGCCGCATCCTTGTTGCCGCTGTTGCTGCCCGACGCACCAGCCGCCGCGGCCTTACCACCACGACCGCGCCTGGTCCGCTTATGGTGCTCCGGCTTCTCGGATGGCGTGGCGTTGCTGTTCGATGCATTTGTCGTCGAGGGTGCAGCGGAGCTAGAGCTTGCCGCTGCGGCATTGGCTGTGTTGCTGCTGTTGGAGTTGTTGGCGTTCGAGTTCGAGGCGGCAGGCTTCTTCTCCTTGCGCTCGAGAACTTGGACTGTCCCCTGGGCAACCTGTATGGGGCTCGCGGCAACTGCCTTGACGAGACCGTCATGATCAGAGAAGTCGACGTAGGCAAAGCCCTTACGCTTGTCGATTTCAACAAAGGTGACGGTGCCAAAGACCTCCATGGCTTGCTTGAGGAGTCCCTCGGTCACACCCTGTGATGGATTTGCATGCTTGACGAAACCACGGGTCACGCCAGCGGTAACAGCAGCGGTGCTCTTTTTCGCGTTGCTGCCCTTGCCTGACGCCTTAGGACCGGTTGGGGCATTGGATTTGGTATTGGCTGGCGGAGCGGCTGGCTGCGAATTTGAGCTCGATGCTTCCTTGTCGGCCTTGGCAGCCTTTTCCTTATTCTTCTCCTCGTCCTTCTTCTTAAGCAGAATGACCGGGGCTTTGGCAGGTGGTGGAGCGCTAGAAGAGCCACTTGCCTCGATTGACTTGCCCTTGGGTTCATTGGCGCTTGCGTTCTTTCCGCCACCGCCTCTTCTTGAACGAGCCGACTTAGGTGCCGTAGGTGTGGCGTTTCTCTCCGATGCCTGTGAAGCAGCTGAAGATGCTGGAGCCGGAGCCGTGGCAGGCGGCGGAGTAGCTACTGGGGCTTCGCCCGCAGGGTGCGCTGTTTCCTTTGACGAAGTTCCCTTTGAATCGGCCTCGGCTTTGGCGGCATCAAGTCGTGCCCTCCTATGGGCGCTTCCGGGACTGATGCCAAGGTCTCGCTGCAAGATGCGGGCAGCAGCCGCAATTCCAGCTCGCCTACTCTTGTGCTGATCCTGTGACGATGAAGAGGAGGCCTGCGTGATCTGGCTGGCGACGGTTTCTGCAGCCTTAACAACATCCGCAGTAGCCTTTTTGGTGAGAATTTTGACCGTCTCTTTGGGTTTATCGGCGGACCTCTCTCCCTTAGAGTCCTTCTTGCCCTTCTTTGAATCATCAGCCGTCGACGCTGACGACTTGCCCTTGGTGCTGGAGTCCTGCCGAGCCTGCTTAGCGCTCTTAGCGGCGGCAGCCTCTTTCTGCTTGTTCGCCTTCTTTTCCTTGAGGAACTCAATCAACGGTGTCGTTGTGACCTTGGTTTCGGGCTTCGTCTCCTCCACATCCTTGTTCTCGTTGCTCTCGTTGTCCTTGTCAATCTCAGGATTGGTCAAGGATTGTAAAAAGGCCATGAATTCGGGGTCCTGATCAATAGTTCCCTGCCTTGGGTCGGTGCGCTTCTTGCTGCTCGGGACTTTGTTGTAAATCGCAAACTCGAGAACCGGAGGGCCGACTAGGGAAGCGCTGTTGGACGTCATCTTTGCATCTTCCCAAGACTTGACCTGAATCAGATTCGACAACGCATTTAAGCTCTCGCGCTTAAGAACATGGAGGTAAACTCGTCCTGGCCTCGATGGCTTCGCAGGGCTAGGGGCAAGAAGTATTAGCCACCAACCCTTGGACACATGGGAGCAAGCACGTACTCATGAGAGATCTTCCCTGACTCAAAGTTGTGCCAGTTAACGAGGCCATTTCCAGCCTTCCATTCATCACCTAGATTGTTCCATAATTCTTGCTCCGTCATGCCAGGGGGCAGTCTTCGAATAATAACCTTGTCGCCCTCGACGGGAGTCCTACTCTTATTGGACTTGGGCGCATCAGTAGTGGCCTGTTGACCGGAAGCCGAAGGGACCCCGTTGGTCTTCCTAGATGCGCCTTGGGCGCCAGATGTTGCCATTGTAGCACAGGTAGCCTTGTGGGAAGGAAAGTGTATTCGTATGCTCGAGATCGATGCCTGATAAAGGGTGGCTACTCTTCTTTATGTGGTTATTGTTTCGTGTCTTGTGTCCGGGTGATAAGCCGTGCAAAAAACATTGGAAGTTCTGTAGCTGAAGCGTTTGGGAAGACGAAGTCTGCTGCGCAAGGGTCCAAGAAGGTGTGTGCAAGACCTGGCTCTGATATCAAAAGGTGATGTGACGGCAAGGTAGTGACGCGGGGCTTTGGGGTGCACATTAACTTCAGATCTGAAAGAATGGCTCACAGCCTGCCACTGCCTCATGTGGGTCTTATCTTATCCTTTGCACTAGCCCTTTTTGGATAGCTCTGTCTGGGTGGGGCCCAAGGGCTGTCCTTCCATTCCTCACCTCACAAAGCCCCACAATGCTGTACCTCGGAAAAACTTCGGTATAAACACAACCTCTCACAAACACCTTCGGCCAAATATTAATCCGAGACACCAGTTATCCCGAAGTTCACCCACCCACCAGCCATCCACCAGCCAGATGGCAAGTCCTCAAGAGCAAGAGGGCAGTGACTCGACCAACAAGGACAAAGAAATCGAGGAAGTCGACGTCTACCCGGAGACCTTTCCGGCATTCGAAGGCTCAAAAATTGCTTCAACTACCAGCGCGACCGAAGGAAGTCACAAACGGGAAGCTACGACGACTTCTGAGTACAGAGAGCCGACTGAGCAAGAAATCGAGGAAGCAATCCGGCGCGCGAATAGCTATCAGAGCAATCCGCTTACCAACACTGTCAGACGGAGTAGACCTACCGGAGACCGTGCTCGCAACCGCAGCGCAGCTGTATCTTTCCAGCTACCGTCAGTTCCACCGGGCACGAATCCCATCAACCTCGGAGCGCATCATCCTACCAGTCTCCAGCCGGTACCTGTTGCATCTGAACGTGCTACCCCAGCGCCCGTCCGTGGTCGTGGAATTCCCGTCCCTGGTCATATCAGCTACATCCCCACTCTCCCCCCTCTTAGCAATCCGCCGCGGAGACAACTGAGAGACCCCTACTCTGGCCGTCCTGTTGTAGTCGGTGGCTTTGACAACCCGCTCGACGAGTACAACCAGCGAGTTCTGCGTCGCAAAGCCCATGACTATCTGGCTCTCGAATTGTTCTTGCAGAATTCGTCACCCCAAACCACCTGGAACTCACAGAACCCTCGACCTCTACCAGAACTCCCCCCTGCTAGCACTACCCAGCAGTCCACAGCAGTCGCACCCAACCGTGCTGCTGCCCATAATACCCCTCCTGCGCTCCCCGCTCAGAACAGTGCTCCACCGCACCCTTCGCCTTTGCAGTCACACCCGGTCGCCTTGAACCAGCAGGAGCCTTTTCCAGCGCCCTCACGTCGCCGTGCCCGATCGACATCATTCTCAACACCGTCGAACGCCTCTGCTTTTGTTTTCCCCGGCCCGACCCAAAGTCAACCTCCCACTGAGACCATCCAGGAGGAGCCATCGACCGAAGACGAAGAACCCGGTTATTTTGAGGAGCCCGGTATTCGCACCGCACAAATTGGCCGCTTCATTCAACAGTCCAACGATTCATCGCACGTTTCCCTCCGCGGTGGAAGCCTTGATCTTGACGATTTCGAAGAGGATTTCGATCCGAGTTACTACGAGTCCGACGATATCGACGACGATTTAGCTGTTTTCAACGTCGAATTCAATCCAAACATTCCCGAAGATTTCAACCCGTACGACATCAAGGCAACCTCTCAGGTGCATACCCAAATACTCGGAAAAATGGCGAGCCACATTCCCCGACCCGGCCCTGCCAAACTCTCCCCCAATGCGGGCCTGGACGAGTGGCTGGAGGAAGCCAAGCAGTGTCATTACTTGCCCGAGCGCGCCATGAAAGAGCTTTGCGAGCTTGTAAAGGAGGTGCTCATGGAGGGTGAGGAATACAGGAATACTCTCTTCTTGGACCTTGTGCTAACTTGTGGAATCTAGAATCCAATATTCAGCCTGTGTGCACCCCAGTCACAATCTGCGGTGATATCCACGGTCAATTTTACGATCTCCTGGAGCTCTTCCGTGTTGCGGGCGGAATGCCTGGCGAGTCTAATGTGGAGGCGCCCAAGACTGCCACAACAGTCATTAACCCCGAGGACATCGAGCCGCCTACCGAGATTACGAACCCGAAGCTCAAGAAGAAGGTCCGCAATGCTGGCAGCCCCCCTGCTGATGAAGACGACGAGGACGATGCTGCGGCCGCTGATACCAGCGCGACTTCCCGAGCTGACTCCGCCGTTGAGGTCTCCAACAGATCGCAGTCTGCCGACACCCGCTTCATCTTCTTGGGCGACTTTGTCGACCGTGGCTACTTCAGTCTCGAGACGTTTACCCTTCTCATGTGCTTGAAGGCCAAGTAGGTGGTTTTTGACATCCGTTGCGCTCTCGTACTAATCAATCTCAGGTATCCCGACAGAATCGTCCTTGTTCGCGGCAACCATGAGTCCCGTCAAATCACTCAGGTATACGGATTCTACGAGGAGTGCCAGCAAAAGTACGGCAACGCTTCCGTGTGGAAGGCGTGCTGCCATGTCTTCGACTTCCTCGTCCTCGCTGCTATTGTTGATGGTGAGCTTCTCTGCGTTCATGGTGGTCTTAGCCCAGAGATCCGCACTATCGACCAGATCCGCGTTGTTGCTCGTGCGCAGGAAATCCCCCACGAAGGCGCTTTCTGCGATCTTGTTTGGTCCGACCCCGAAGACGTCGAGACTTGGGCTATCAGCCCTCGCGGCGCCGGCTGGCTCTTTGGCGACAAGGTTGCAACCGAGTTCAACCACGTAAACGGTCTTAAGCTCATCGCCAGAGCTCATCAGCTTGTCAATGAGGGATACAAGGTCAGTAGTTGCCATTGGGCCGCTTCCCTGTCTCTACGCTAACACAAAACAGTATCACTTCCCGCAGAACTCTGTCGTCACCGTGTGGTCGGCTCCGAACTACTGCTACCGCTGCGGTAATGTTGCGTCCATCATGACCGTCGACAAAGACATGAATCCCAAGTTCAGCATTTTCTCCGCAGTCCCCGACGAACAGCGCCATGTCCCTGCTAACCGCCGTGGACCGGGCGACTACTTCCTCTGATTGGGCTCGCTGATCTGTATACTGGAGACGTGGCTGTGCTTGGGACGCATTTGGAAGACCGTCGGAACTCGTGTCCTGAGGTCCCAACGCGGTTCTTGCTAAAGTTGACGTCTCCAACAACCGGCCGCTCGAAATTGGGCGGCGAGGCTTCGAATATCACGATGAGCCTCGCATTCGCCTGAGTACACAAAACCGTCTTGGGAAATTTACACCTGGACATCACTGTCGTGCATCCGAATAACGCGCGATGATGAGAGACGGTTCTTCTTTTGCTGCAGACGGAACATTTTTGATGTCAAGGGTCTGCAGTCACGCAGCACACTTGAATTCGGCATAATCCACACCGGGATTCTTGCCTCACCCACTGCGTGGGTTATATCGTGATTTCTGGGCATGAGCACTGAGTACTCCGCGGATCATAGCTTGCCTTTGGCTCGCTTGGATCCAAATACATGAGAGGAGTGACTCGCTCGTTTGCTCGGAACGATCACTAAGGAAAGGAAGCGAGATGAGAACCTCGAAGCTGGCTCGGCCTCGAAGAACGCGGAGAAGGAACGTGGGGATGAGAGAGAGGACGGGCTGGCTACTTTTGACGTATTTGACGATGTCATGCATGGAATAGAGGGCAGGAGAAGACCTTCTTGTAGATTAGGCATAGAGATGTTCAATACCCATACATTCTGGAACCAGGAAAGCTGGACTACACGTTGCATACTGTAAAGTTTCTTCGTCCGTGCTAATGCAGGCGATATGCCTTGGTAATGACCAAAAGGCTTATGAATTGCCAGGAATCAAGCGCCATTTGCTTTTGTTCTACATCCGCCATGCCGCATCGAACCCCATGTCACACCAGACGCCATGCGATATACTAGGGTACTCCGTAAACCGAACCCTCGCCGAATCCCTTCAAGCGCGCTTGACTTCCCACTTCAGATCCTTGATGCTCACTTCCTCTCCTGCCTTCTCGTCATAGTCATACCATTCGCCGTCCGTGAGCTCAATGGCAGTGAACTTGCTGTTGGAATCAATGCCCTCGGCGAGCCACTCACCCTCGGGGATGAACTCGGTGAATTCAAGTCCACGGCAATCGAACTCGAGAATCTTTTGCTGCTTCGCGGGCTCGCCCTGTGCATACGAAGCCGGTGCGGCCTTGACGGAAGCCGAAGACTCGCGCTTGCAGTTTTTGCATTTCCAGACGAAGTTGGCCTCGCCTCTGCTGCCGCTCATTTCATTTTCGTCCTAGAGTGAGCCACGGATAAGCGGAAAGTCCGAAAGCCTTGTGCTTTGGGGAACGCTTACAAAGCGGTTGACACCGACGGTCTTGTCATGAACTTCGCGACAGGATGTGCACTGGACTTTGAAAGTGTACCAGAAGGGGTTACCCTCGCTATCATCAGGACGGAGATTTGTGACTCTGTGGAGAGAGTAAGTATCGTATTCTGGGATCTCGGAACCAGTCAAACTAACCCGTTGAGCTCAGCTGTGAGATAAAGAGCAAACATGATGAGCTAGATATCCTTTCTGAGCTCAGTGTATTTCAAATTGTGGTTGTTAAGGATGTCTCTCGTATCCAGTGCTGATCGAGGGCCGCTGTAAAGTCTTGGTGGGGTTACCTCATGGAGGGGCAGCTGCGTCACTTCCATAAGCGGATATACTGTTTAGTTATGATAATCGCTTAATCGCATTATGTGTATCTACATTTTCAATCGGCCCTTGTCAATTGGACCTGTCATCTCGGCCAAGCTAAGTCGATCGTCAGTTACTGCGCATCAGACGATAATTTCCGCGCCTGGAACTTCCCGACCACTTCGACCACGCTCGACGCCTCGTCGCACGCCAACCCATCAATCCGACTCAGAGAGGCTTTCACAATAGCCGGCATGCCGTCAGAATGCAGGCAATCTGGTCTAGAGCGGGCCAGGCGCACCGTTGCGGCTGCAAGGCCTGCTTCAGTGCCTCCGGGGGCATGATGCGGCAGTCGGCGACGCGCGCGACGCAACGAAAACCGACCTTTAGCGAGATCTTCACGGCGTGCTACACATCGATAATGGGAACGGCAGCGGTTTTGGACGCAGAGAGGAAAGACAGGCGGCGAAAGGATCTGGACCGACAAATTGAAGAGGTCTCGAACGAGCTGGCAAATCTTGTCGAAAAGGGACAGAAGAAGGCTCCTACGAAACCGCCTGCTGGGGACATTGGCAACCGATATCCAGGCGCTTTGAAAGACCACGTGCGACAAAACCCCGAAATCAGCAAGATGCTCGACGCCCTAGGACCCTCACATAAGTGGCAGAAAACTGTTGCAACAAAGGCCGACGTGGACCGTTTTTGGGAGATATACGAGCTGAGCCCTTCGAACAAAGTTAGAGGGGTCGACTACGATGCGTTAATGAAGGAGCTCATCGAGGAAGAGGGGGTACCTATAAAGCACCGTCAACCGCGGACGGTCAGGCAAGCCAAGGCAGCAGAAGTGGCAGCAAAAGCTTTGGTCTACAGATTCCTCGACGCAGGCGACTACATGATTGGAAGCGAAAGGATGCAAACGACACGAGAAGAGGTAGCCAAGCTGATGAAGAGCAAGCTGCCTATATGGCACCTAGAACTGAGCGCTGAGGCTCTGAATACGTGCAGCTTGGAGCTGAACCAGGTATTGAGGGAGATTTTTGACGCCTCGACTCCCTCGAACGTTGACCATACGATTCACAGTCTGTGTCACAATATCCTCACATCGCCTCAAGCCCTCAGCATACACACATACAACCACCTTATTGCGGGCCTGGACAAAGTCGGGATGCATCGCCTTGCTTCAGAGGTGGTCGGTTCTTTCTTCCATGGCAAGCTTGAGCCAACGCAGCACACCCTGGTCTGTATCCTGAATCACTTCAAGGCGACACATGACATAGACAGCTTTGCGGGCTTCATCGCTCGCATGGTTGGCAAAGACCAACGAGGTGTCAACATCCGCAGAAAGACACACGGTGAAGTAGCGACGTTTTTCCGCATTCACGGATGGGCCATGAAGAAAGACGTTGCAGTCGCCTCCCATTACGTCGTCGAGAGGGCGCGTTTCGACGAAAAAGTCTTTGCCGCCATTATCGAAGGCATGTTGGCGTTTTCTAGACTGAGAGCTGCCGTGGGCGCATTTGCGGCAAGCATCGCGGCCGACCTCACAATTAGCATGCGGACCATATCCGAGCTGCTCGATTGTTGCGCACGCTCTCTGGATCGAATAGCTGCGGACAAGGTTTTGAAAGCACTGGAAACCAAACCCGAGCTGATTAGTCAAGCATTCACTCAAGAGAACGACCAACTATATCTCGCGCGACGCATACGGAGCTTACTGGACATTTGCGGCCGTGAAGACGAGTCGCCGACCAGCGTAGCACCGTTCTTGAAGAAGCCTGTGTTCTCGATTGTATTGAGTGAGGAACAGAAACGAGTACTTCACATCGCACGAATAGCCCACGCCGTGGGCCAAACGGAGTGGTTGTTGGGACACGCGCGCCATTACATTCAGCGCGTAAAGACTGGTAACGCTGGTACTATTCGCGTTAAATCAGGTTCTTCACAGATGTATATGCTCTGGAAAGCGACAAAGTTGGCTCGGCCAGTACCCGAGGTTCCCCCGAAGCCGGAGATGCCTTCCTCGCAGGTGGGAGACATTGACTGGTCTGCTTCAGATCGCCTGGAGGAAGCGCCAGATACGCAGTTGGCGCAGAAACACATGAGCACAAGCAACATTCAAAGCGGCTTTCTTTCAGAGAAGCAGAGCGAGTTGCCCTCCCAACCCGAGAGCGGTGTCTCGCAGGAACCGGGTGAACCATCCGCTTGGGATCGTCTTGAAGAGGCTATGGAGACGAAACCGAAAAAGAACAAGACCAAAACCAAAACCAAAACCAAAACCAAAACCAAAACCAAAATCAATGAGGTTTTTGAGACGATTAAAATCATGTAGATATGTACTATACCACACATGTAACATTATGGTTATATGGCACGTTTATGCCAAGGCCAAGTTGATGGATAGAATAGAGGCCAAAGGCAAAAGCCAGCTGTCAGATGCCCTTATAGTGGGAGCCCATAGACATCAGAATACCAAGCGATTCAAAATAGGACCACCGGGCTGCATGAATGGGTTGCTCTACTGTGCAATCTTGGCCATGACCAATTTGCTTCCGTTCGCTTCCAGATAGTAGGGTGTCAATCTAGACAACAAGTTACACCGAGGTTCAACTCCCATGCTTTCTTATTCTTCAACTCTCATGCTTTCTTATTCTCCAACCCCGCTCCGCTGGCTGTAGATATGCACCTCCTACCTCGCGTGCTCGGGAACTTGGCATTCTCACTTCCCTCTCTTCTCATCTCATTCTTTAGAGCACAGAACCAGGAAACATAATTAAACATTCTTATTGCCCATCATGAATTATATAAACGTCGAAGATTACGATCTGGCTCCCAAGGACCTGGAACTCAATCCCGCCGGCCTGCAGCCCGGCGCACCAGATCGAGGACAGGGGGCGGCACGCGCTCGTCTGCCTCAACATCGTGCGGGCCATGAAGATGTACGCGGCGATCGACCCGGAGTCGCTGGAGCCGTTTGACATCGAGGACCAGGCCTTCGGCGTGGATCTGGCGGCCCGGGAGAAATACGAGAGGGCCAAGGACGCATACTCAAAGGTGCTCCAGCTCGAGCGCACCGTCGACGCGGTCCAGAAGTCGCTGGCGGAGCGGTTCAGCATGCTGGAGAATGATCGGTGGGATGAGTCCGAAGCGCGGGAGTTTGTGCCGGCCGGGTTGATGAGGCTGGGCCGGGACCAGGACGCGTATAATTTTGCGAAACGGTGAACGCTGTGTGAGGATAAGGATGATCCGCGGTACACATGGCAGAGTCAGTATGGAGACAACGCATTTGAGCACCCGGATACGATGATCAAGAGCAAGAATGCGCTGTTTGGGACGTTGAATTCCCTGCTGCTGCTCAAGATCAAGCTGTACCTGGACCTCCGGGATATTTGCAACGCGGATTGGATGCTGAGGAAGTTTGTGGTCAACAGGAAGGGCAAGGACGGCGTCGCCATGGGGCTCCCGTCCGAGGTGATTGACATGATCAAGTGATACACCGTACGGTCTCACATCGTCCGGGATCGGCGCGAGCTGGTGGAGAATAACGGGTTCGTGGCGTCGCCGGGGGTGTGGGTGCTCAAGAAGCAGATCCGGAAGCTGGCGCGTGCGGTGTATGATAATCCCGAGTACACTGGCGAGTACATTGGCGAGAATAAGATGCAGGGCAAGTATCTTATGGCGCAGGCGGGGTGGGATGAGACGCCGGGGGCCTATGAGATCTTGAATGATGCTCAGGAGGGCATGGAGACGATGTCCGAGACGAACCCGTACTGGGGCTCGTCGGACTGGGGGCGATGATGAGGGCGATGATGAGGACGATGGCTACGATGACTACGATGACTACGATGACTACGATGACTACGATGACTACGATGGCGAAGATTATCACGACTATCTTGAGAACAATAAGGATACGAATTGGTTGGGAGGGTTATAGAACGTAGGAAGGCTATCGCATGTTGGTTGCCGCTTGTATTCTTCGTTTCCTGCGGCTCAAAGCATCGAATCCATGGCCGCTACTATTGCTGTGCCTGGACAGCTGAGACCAAGTACCATAGCTGAACCAAGCCTCGAAAGGGGAGTCTGAAGGATGCCAAGGAATGAGATCGTACCATGTCAGTCGCAAGTCTTTGGCACTGCGCGGGAAGAGGTTGCGGCCCCGAGCGTGTTTTGCAAACTGGGATTGACTTTGTTGGGGTAGTCACGAGTGATATCATTGCAATATAACTTGAGGCGGGGGAAAGAACAAAAAGGGGATACACAGACACAACACGTGAAGCAAGCTTGATTGGATCTTATTTTGGGCGACAGCTATTGAAGCGGCTTCATATACCTCATCCCTGATTGCTTACTTAGATTTAACGCGGTGCTCATTGATACGTACACCAGTTTTAGAAGAAACTATCGTGTTAGAGAGAGAGTTCAATCAAAGGTATCTTGACCTAATTGGAAATTGGCCGGTACTAATGTTACACTAGGTTGTAGTTGTAGGAGCTTCGTCAGAGGGACGAACTTGAAGACAAAAGGCCACAAGCACAATACTTTAGTGTAAGCAGAGATGCCTTGAGCCGCAAGTGTGGAAAAAGAAGCCCAGGAACTGTAGAGTCTAAATTAGTTAGGGGTGGATGTGGAAGGGTTCCCATTTGGCCGCTGCGCAACTTTTTTGGGAATAAGTTGTCAACTCTTGATTCACGCACAAAGGCTGAAGACTCTTCCCCAGGTTGATCATACTGGCGCAAAGCCAAAAATCGTGGTAGTTTGTTCACTGCAACTACGGATACACCAACATCACCTTAAGGTGTGACGTTGTAGCTTTCCCCCCGTGGATCGCCGTTGGACCCTTGCTGACCAGTCGTCACGCGTGTTCCATCGGCGTTATATTGGCAAGTTTGGCTAGTCAGCAGTAAAGTGACTAGCAGTTCCGTGAATGCCGAATTTCCACGATCCCTCAAGCGCGCCGCCCCATTGCCTCTCATTATCAATCCATATCTGCAGACTGCTGCAGAGGAATGGAAGCCGGGATGCCGAGGTCTTCTGCCCTGGACACTGTAGCCAGGTGACAGGACCCCTATAAAAAAACCAAAACTTGGAACATGCATCGCGGAACCAGATCTGAGTGGGGTATTTGGTAGGTCATTCCTGGGGCCGAGATGAATTTGGACCAGTCACTTTGGTGTGCAAGAGTCAGGTCTCAAGGGGTACTCGTTGGAGGTATGGGCAAAAAGGTATGTTTAGAAGCATGCAGGTTTCTTTTCAACGGCGGCCAAAAAGTGCATTTTGACCGGACAGAGACCGATGTCGTTTTCAGGGTCCTTCCCGCCATCTGCCCTCCGGAGGAAAGGTCATGAGGACGGACGACCTGACAAGCCTGCGAGGCGGTCTGGAATTTTTAGACAGCCCATCTAACCCGGCGTACCGGGAGGGCTGCTCAAATGTGAGATGAGATGTGTCCCGGGACGCGGCCCCGACTCGCCTTAGGCCCTTCAGCCCAGTGAGCCCACCCATGGGTGGGAGCGCGGTGCGCGGTGCAGGGCACTAAGTGATTAGAATTGGTTTATGAGGTACTAGTGGACGGTACAGGCTCACTTGCGACGCACCACCACCGGCCGGTGGACGGTAGACCGGCGCGGGATAGGCATACACGTGTAATCCGATCAATTGAGCCAACAACGTCAGCGTGCAACTCTTTTCCCTTCTCTTATTCACTTGTGACGGGAGCACTCACTAGAGGTATTGGAAAAGGAAGGGAAAAAAGGACGGGATGGCCAGCGTTGGTGCTACATCAACGGCGGGGTGATCATGGACAGGCCGGCCAGCTGAAGCCGTGGTGGGGCAGCCATCCCGTGACTTGGCGAATCAAACAGGGGCGGCGCTCCACGGGCGGTCAACGGCGGCTTCCAAGTGGCTAGCTTCACCGACCGGATAACGCCACACCTCAAGCTGTTTTTGGACACTGTCTTTCTTCTCATTTACCGTGGTAAGAGGGCAGGAACCTTCTTGTTGGGTTGCTACTGCCATTTGCTGAGCCTGCGTGCCTGCGTGCCTGCCTTTCCATTGATCTCACCTGCCGTCACGTTCAGAAGCGACTGGTGGTGGGTGGTTTGGGTGTCTCAGGTACCTCCCGACCCTGTCTCGAGTCGTTGCGCCGGGACTCGGCAGTACCCTCCACAGCGTGAATTGGCGTGTGGGGTACTTGATGACCGACAAAGAGGTACGGCGTGCCAAGGCCTCGGATACCCTGCGGCCGCTGTGGAGGTTGAGATGAGCTCACACCTCTCACACCTCTTCTTTTCTCTCCTGCTAAGGTACCAGAGGTGCAGACTTGGAGGCACTGTTGCATGCTTCCGTCACTTGTCAATCCACTCTCCTTGCGCCGGTCGGTCTGAAGTTCTGGTTCATTCATAACCCCCCTACAACCCACTGATGCTCTCCTCGAGGGGCCCGGGTCTTTGCTCTCTTCTGCTTCTTCTTCTCTTTGGATTCTGTAAAGGTATTCGATAAGCCAGTCATTGGACAAATACCAGATACCGTACGGATACGCCATCTCAGTCACTGCTTCTCCGCCCTTTTTCAGTCAATGGCGAGCTGGATGTGGAGCTCCTTGAACCTGGAAAAACCAACGGGACTCTCGTGACTGACTGACTGACTGAGCGACCTCGAATTCTGGATCCTCTCTTTTTGTCGCAACAAAGAAGAAGCGGATAGTGCCTTCTGTATCTCGAGCCTTCTGCGACACACTGACTTGGGTCAATATCTTCTTCAAGTTTTTGGCCCCTTCTCCAACTCACCTCATTCACCACCTCACCTCTTACTACACACTTCCGACCATCATCATCAACTAATCCCCCGACCAAAGAACAAGAACACCTACGAGAACCGGGAGGAAGAGAAAATGATTGATTGCGGTTGCGAGTCCATCTGCCTCTAAGCAGCCGTTCAACATTCACTCTTGCCGTCTTATTTTCCCGTCAGCGCCTTATCTGTTGCTGCAGCATTCTTTCGAAGCTGTATCGCCTAGACAGTATCACTACCAACATACGCCACAGCGTCACATCCAATCCCTGATAACGAACTCAGACATCATTTCACAATGAAGTTCGGCAGAAAGTGCGCCTTCCTCCCTCTCCCCCTCACCTACCCGCTTCATCCGACAGAAACCGATACTTCTGCTATTTTTGGCCTTGCCTTTACTTACCTTACCGCCTTGTCATTTCATGGAAAATCATGCTTACGCTGTCTGCAGTCTCCCCCGCAACCAAGTCCCCGAGTGGGCGGCCTTCTACATCAACTACAAGGGCCTGAAGAAGTTGATCAAGGCCGCGGCGCAATCGGCCAAGAACGGAGAGACGGTGGATCTTGCAGGTGGGCGGACTTGGACCGGACCGTGAGGGCGCAGCCCATCCCCTGACCGCATCTTGCAGAATTCTTCTTTGCCCTGGATCGTAATCTCGAAGACGTCGACTCTTTCTACAACCGCAAGCTTGGCGAGGCCGTCCGCCGTCTCAGTCTGTTGCGCGACCGCTATGGCCGCGTTCCCGACGTCGTCTCCAATCTCGATGAAGATGAGACCGAGGAGCTCATGGGCGCTCTCTACGAGATGCGCATCATGCTGAGAAACCTCAATTGGTTCGCCGAGATCAACCGCAGAGGCTTCGTCAAAATCACAAAGAAGCTCGACAAGAAGCTCCCCGAGACGGCTTCTCAGCATCGCTACATCTCTACAAAGGTCGATCCCTTGCCATTCGCTAAGGACACGACGAGCACGCGCCTCCTCACTGAGATTAACAAATGGATTTCCGCCCTGGGTGACGCCCGCAACGTCGACGACTCCAAGTCGGACAGGTCAGTGCGGTCGCTGGGCCGCGTATCCTCCAAGGCCATGTTGACTTTGTCGCAAAACCTACTCGACACCCTGGAGCAGGCCATCCGCAACGACAATGTCGAGTCGCTTAAGACCGGACTGGAAGAGGGCAACGTGACGGGCGAGCAATCGTCTCAAAGCTTGCTTCTCAACCTCCTGCAGCGTTCCATTGCTGCGAGATCCAAGGCGAGCATCGCCTATCTTATCGATCAGCTGCCGTCCATTTACGAGCCCGATGACATCAACCACCGCAACTGCATTCACCGGCTCGTCATTCACATTGGCAGAACCAAGTCGTCTGATCCCGATAATGAGCCGAAATCGTACCCTTTCCCGATCGGCACTCAGTTCACTTCTCACGACCTCCAGCCAGCAGTCTCGCAGGCTGTGGTTCCCCGTGCACTCAATCAGAACGAGACGAAGCTACTTGGTAAAGATGACGAGGCTGTTCAGATTCTCATGTACCTACTTGACACCCTCAAGCCCGAGCACAGAGATGCGCTCAGCGGCAGAGACTCCTTTGGACGTTTGCCGCTCCACTATGCTGCCCGATTTGGCTTCGTTGTCGTGTGCCAAATCATCATGGCCAAGATGCAGGAATGGGGTCAATTCAACGTCGAGAATGGCATCGACGCCCCCGAGTGGCAGGATAACGAAGGATATGCTCCTTTGCACCTGAGTGTCGTGGGTGGACATCCATTGACCACCAAAGCCCTTCTCCAGGGAGAAAATTGGCAGGGTGTGAGTCTCAGGAAGGCCGAGATGAGACGAACGGTATCCAAATCCGGCGCGGTTCTCGCTATGGCCACCAAGTCCAACTACAAGGTCATTGTCGAGATGCTCGTTGAAGCTGGTGTCGACATCAACTGGCAGGACAAGACGGGTGAAACCGCTCTGCACCTAGCCTCCCGGTTCGGTCACGATGAGATTGCAAAGTCGCTGATTGCCGGCACCGACGAGCAGAAAGCCGACCTCGAGATCGCAGAGAACACCTACGCCTGGACGCCGCTGCATGTCGCCGCCGTCGACGGTCACTTGTCGATGGTACAGCTGCTGGTCGACTCTGGCGCGGTTGTTGCCAAGGCCGACTCGTCTGGTTGGACCGCCAAGGAACACGCCGCCCTGCGTGGCCATCTCGACATTGCCAGGCTTCTCGCGACTCAAGCCGAGTCCGAAATTGTGCAGCCTACGAACAATCTCAAGATTTCCAATGAGAGCTCTCCTCGGTCTTCGTCACCCGAGAACATGTCTTCAATCGATGGCCGCAAGTCAAATGGTGCAATTCGTCCCGTTGAGCCGGTCAAGACTTTTGGTCATCGCTACCTCACCGATCAGAGCATGGTTCTCGTCAGCCTCGGGTCCATGGATATGCGCAAGAACATCGAGGCAGTCAAGCTCGACCGTGTTCCCTTGACCGAAGCCCACTTGACCGAACTCGACACAGCCTTGTCCATTGTCGTGTCAGCCAGTGGTGCCAAGGGAGAGCCCACCATTGTTGACTTGCCTGTTCACGAGACCATCTCTACGGAGCCTATTGTGTTCACTTCGGCTGACCCTTCCCAGGTCAAGCTGATGTTTGACATTGTCCCAACTTACTCTGGAAACGAGAAGAACAAGATTGGACGCGGTGTGGCCCTTTTGTCTTCCATCAGGCCTACGCTTGGCACGAAACGTATGAACCTTCAGGGTGATGTCTGTGTGCCGATTCTGGCCAGCAACTTGGATGTCATCGGCACGGTCAACTTCAACTTCTTGGTTGTCACGCCTTTCTCGCACCCCAACATGGAAATCAACTCACAGCAAACCTACTGGAAGAAGCTAGCTACAACGATGGTCATTGGTCACCGCGGCATGGGTAAGAACATGACGAGCAACAAGTCCCTCCAACTCGGAGAGAATACGGTACCTTCATTCATCGCAGCAGCCAACCTGGGCGCGCAGTACGTCGAATTCGACGTCCAGTTGACCAAGGATCATGTCCCGGTTATCTACCACGACTTTCTTGTCAGTGAGACGGGTATCGATGCACCGGTCCACACCTTGACCCTGGAGCAATTCTTGCACATCAACCCCGATTCGAACCGCACCAATGGTGTCAACTATGGTGTTAACAATGGTGTAAACGCAGTCAATGAGAGAATTGAGCGAGTGAGAAACAACGCACCTGGCCCTAGACAGCGATCTTTGTCCATGGGCTACGCCGGTGATGGCCTCAATGGACACAGTGAAGAACGCATGAAGCACACTCGGGACTTCAAGGAAAAGGGGTACAAAGCCAACTCCAGAGGTAACTTCATTCAAGCTCCATTCGCCACCTTGGAGGACTTGTTCCGACAGCTCCCTGAGCATATCGGCTTCAACATTGAGATGAAGTACCCCATGCTCCACGAGAGTGAAGAGCAGGAGATGGACACCTACGCCGTCGAGCTTAACTCCTTCTGCGACACTGTCCTTTCCAAGGTCTATGACCTTGCTGGCAACAGACACATCATCTTCAGCTCCTTCAACCCCGATATCTGTCTCTGCTTGACCTTCAAGCAGCCTTCCATCCCCATCATGTTCTTGACGGATGCGGGCACCTGCCCTGTCGGTGATATCAGAGCATCCTCGCTGCAGGAGGCGATTCGTTTCGCCAGTCGCTGGAACTTGATCGGTATTGTCAGCGCCGCCGAGCCGCTGATTAACAGTCCCCGGCTGGTGCGCGTCGTCAAGGAAAGCGGTCTGCTGTGTGTCAGTTACGGTACATTGAACAACAATCCCATCATGGTCCAGGTAAGTTTCACCATCTCGCTTTAGTGAATGAGAAGTGTGATGCTCACTATTCCTTGCAGCGCCAAGTAAAGGAAGGCATCGACGCAGTGATTGTGGACAACGTCCTCGCCATTAGAAAGGGCCTGACGACGACCGAGGCTGAAGTTCTGAAGGGTGCTGGCGAAGACCTAGAGGAGGGATCCGAGGGTGACTCGGCTTAGAAGAAAGCATTGTGTGCGGTTTCGGTTTCACAGCACGGGAAGAACTGAGAGAGTGTGTGTGCGTGAGAGAGATACGTGTTTTACATGGCATAGCGCGCCGGAGGGAAAATTGGCATTCCAGCTTGGTCGGCTATGTTTCGACCAGCTTTCAACATTGAGGGAAAAGCAGCTGAGGAGGCTTAAACATGCCTCTTGCAATCCAGAGCAGGTTTTGAGGGTAGATTATGAACAATACAGTAAACGACCCTACGAGTGTAGTCTCACATACCCAAACATACCGGTACTCATTGCCGAAATGTGACACAGGTGCAACATGTCGAGAGGGGGCGGTCTTCACTTCCAAACCTCTATTGAGGCTCTGAGGTATGTAACACACGATTTTGGTCAGGTTCCTGCAAGATAAGTATTATAATGGTCCGCGTAATCAACCTATTCCCAGGCCCTACGAATGACACTCACTAACTCTACCAATCCTGGTCTCCGTGTCGCAACCACCGCCTACTGAAAAGCCAATCACCCATTTCGTACATCCAAACCAACGCGATGCACATAACATAAACCAGCACAATTTCTTATATATCTCAGCCCCGCGCTACGCATGATATCTTTTTCTCCAAAATCACTCTTAGAACGAGAGTTTCGATACCCAAGTAAAATGTGAAGCCCCACCCATCCACCATAGCTCCACAACATCAAACTACCAACCCACCAGCAAACCCCTCGTCGAAATTTGCACTTGCGCGATATAATTCCACATCCACAGATCCCTCCCAACCATCCAGCATAGAGACGAACTCGCGTCGATGGTTTAGTGGTAAAATTCTCCGTTGCCATCAAGCAGCGTCGGGGAGCCGGGGGTTCGATTCCCCCTCGACGCATTTCTTGTGCCACTTGACGGACATTTTGGTTCTGGTACCAGCCATGCTTGTTGGACTAACCTCTAGATGGATGGGGGAACTCTTACTTGATCTCAGAGGAAGTGATCGAGTCCCTTTTTGGTCTTGTTTACCTTCAATAGAATGGTAGGGACTCGGTCTACGTCTGAGTGTCACTCAAGTAGCCTTAGCAATGTGATTGTTGGCATTCTGGGACCGACCCATGAGCAAAACCCGCAAAGCTTGTAGACTCAGGCAAGATGCTTCAGTTCATCCTAGAGGGGACCAACGCATGGGGACGTTGACTCATCCTGAGACTCACGTGGCCTCGGTCAGGTCACTCACCATGGGCGCGAGCCCGTTTGGTAGTCCGTATGAAATACGGATGTCACGTAAAGGACTCAAATCTATGCCTCTTGGTTTCCTGCCGAGCTCCATCGACTGCATATCAGACTATGACAGAGACGAATGTTGGAAATTCAACCCCTCAGGTCAGTGGTATCGTCCCTTCTTCAGCGGTGGGCAAACATTCAGCAGTCTCATCTTCCTTGCCAACCAACTTCACCGTCGAGCCCGAAAACGGGTATCGACATCCTCGTGGAACCATCTTGAGGCACACCGCCTCCTCAACAGCATGACCAAACATATATGTCCTTATCAGAAGAGTTTGTAGTACTCGAAAGAAACCTTAGCTTTTCCCATGAGATCCAAATCACGAGTCCATATGTTTCCAAAGGAAAGCCTAGCCGCGTCTCTACCGGGGCCTCACATGAGCATACCGCCCTCGTCCTACCTCGAGCACCGCCTTCCCCACGTCATAGTGCTTGGAGTCTCTTCGTCACATCTCGCATTCCACCGAGAAGCTATTTTTCTCGCAAGCTTCTTGCCTTGATTTGCCTCACGGGTGACTGCTCACCGACTTTATGCGGACTTCAACGAGGGCCTTGTGGTTCGCACTTTAAAAGCCCGAGGAGACTAATACTGGGCAACTCCCTCCCTCCTCTTCTTCCCTGCACAATTCTCAGCACAGTGACGCAGACCCTTTGGCAACTCTTCTCGTCAGAGCACATACATACAAGAACCATCGAATTCGGCATACCAAGTCTCGGGAAGCAACATGAGTAGAAGAAAGAGACTCACGCCTCAAGAGTTGGAGAGACTTTGCAGCTACGCAACTCCTGCCGGTCGATGTCCCTACTCGAGGGTGACCTTAACGAGAGATGGAAACCGCTATCCTTCTCGATTCTGCAAACTCCACTGCTGCAAGAAGATTGATACTAACAACGCTGCGTGTTTGAATATGAGAACCAACAACAAGGGATATTGTCAACAACGTACTTCGCTCCTATATCTCACGGGTCTCACAGTACCCTAAACTCTTGATAACTAATCATTCTTCCTAGATCTCCTCTGCCAAGGCATGATGAACGATGGTAGATGCAACAACTACATCAAGAACTACGATCCCAAAGAATTCAGGTTCTGCTCACAGTACCGTACGTCTTCCCACCTCCTAGCCTCTCCCAGCATGCCTCCCTCCATCCATCATCCATCTCCAAACGAACTAACAAACTATCCAGACAACTGCATCCAACAAGGCTGCGCAAACCAACGCAACCACCCCAACGGCACCGACTACAGATACTGCCCAGACCACCGCTGCGACCACCAAGACTGCACGAACCCCAAATCCCCGCCCTCCTCCTTCTGCGCCTCCCACACCTGCGCCGCGCCCTCCTGCCTAGCTCGCTGCCCCGGCGCCACAGGCGACGCCCACGATCCGTCCCGCCACTGCGATCGCCACCGCATGTGCGCCACCGCCGGGTGCCGGCGCTTCGCACACGTCAACGAGCACGGCGTCCCTTCGGCCCACTGCGGCGAGCACCACTGCCGCTTCGACCAGCAGCCGCCGTGTAACAACGGACGGGTGGCGGGCACCGAGGGTACGTGCGTAACGCATACATGTGAGGACAGGGGCTGTGGCAGGGTCAAGACGGCGCATATGGCGGACGCGGGGGGCGCGGCGGGACGGTATTGTAAGAGGCATGAGTGTGATAGGGAGGGGTGCTGGGAGAGGCGGTGGTTGGGGAATTGGTGTGTGAGGCATACGTGTGCTCGACGTGATTGTGAGAGGGAAGGGGGGATTGGGGATTTCTGTGATCGGCATAGGATTTGTGGCACGCCTGGATGTGAGCGGTTTCGACATTTCGATGGGGAGAATGTGAGGGATACGTGTGAAGAGCGTGAGTGTTTTCTCCCCCTTTACTTCTGTCTTCTGAAAGGGCTTTGGCATGTCCGCGTCTTTTGCCCCCTACGCCTCCGACTGGGCTGTTCCTCCGTGTCCTCCCGAAACCGAACCAAACTGACTTTTCATCCTCCAGACTTGGCAACTCGCTGCCGCAGAGCAGGCTGCGACGCCCGCGTCATCGAAGGAGGCGCCCTCTGCGTAGACCACACCTGCATCTACCGCAGCTGCCAGAACGAGCGTTCTGCCCTCGGCCACTTCTGTACGGACCACAACTGTTCTGCTCCCGGGTGCCAGCAGCTCCGCGCGACCGTCGTCCTCTCGCAGACGATGATGATGCTCGGCGGGCTCAACCTCAACCTGCCGCTGTCGCCTTACTGCCGTGCCCACGTTTGTGGTCAGGAAGGGTGTGCGGAGCCGGCTGCTGCTAATGGGGGTTCGCGGTATTGTCTGGCGCATGCGAGGTGTCGGAGGCCTGGGTGTATGAATGGGGTTGAGGTTAGAGGGCGGGATGGGAGTTTGTGTGAGGAGCATAATCGGCATGGGGGTGGGTGGATGGGGAGGAGGGGGATGCTGGATCCTGATGCGTATGGATGGGGTGGTGGCGGAGGAGGAGGGGAAGGTGGCGGTGGGCAGCATTGGCCTGGGTTTGGACCTTGGGGGGTGAATGCTGCTATTTGAAATAGTCTGAATTACTGGAGGTTATCTTGTTCAAGTTTAGTTTGGGATGCTTGCTGCAATAAAAGTTTTGAATACTTGGTGTCATGTTCATTGATGCTTCGAGGCCTGGCTCTGATTATGAACTATAGCTTCCGGGCCCCGCGAGTAAGGTGGTTCTCATGAGGAGACAGATTGCTGTCTGGTGGTTTGGCATTATTGGAAGGATGCCGCCGTTGAGGAATGAATCCATTCCCATTGTGTCTGCCTCGCACCTTCGCACCTCCACGTCCCTCCTGCCCTCTTTCATCCGAGCAAGGCTACTTAAGGGGTCTACTCACCATTCCTGTCACCAGCACAGCAGCGCCCGTCTAGGTCAGCGAGGTCAGGTCAAGCTGTGTGCGTGGTGCAGTGGTCAAATAAACAAATACTCCAATGAAGTCAGAGTTCGGGTTGACTGAGGGGCGCGCTGTTCGATTCCGGGCAGGGGCGTGAGTTCTAGTTGAGTTGTCCCCCCCCCCCCCCCCCCCTTCCTTTCCTTTTTTCTTTTTATTTTTTCTTAACTTGGGTAAGGTATATATATATATATAGAGAGAGAGAGAGATACACGGTGGAAGAAGGCTCTAGTGAAGAGTTGAAGATATCAATAAACGACCTGGCCTTGTTAGGAGGATAATTCAGTCAAGGAATTAACCTCTCTCTTGATGCCATTGCTTATACTAAGGAGTTAGATATCCCTAACATGGTGGCGAGAGAAATTGAGCAAGCCTATTTTTCGCGATCATATTCCCTTTTTTCCGCCATGGCAACTTATTGTGACGACTTGTATGGCTTTTCAAGAGGAACATCATATAGAAAATGGTGAGGCCGTTGGAAGACTTTTGTCTCACGTATTTGATATTCCTTACAAAATCACATATCAACGCAGCAGTCTAGATCCCGAACCCCTTAATATCCTTCACCAAATCAGTAATACTCTCCTCCAAACTCTTCCACTTAATACCCAGAATCTTCTCCGTCGCGCTGTTATCGTACCCATACACCTTATCTTTGGGCGGCAGCTCACCACCCTTGGTCCCCTCCGCAGGCAACCTATCCCCGAGCTCAGGGAAGTTCTTCCTCACCACCTTTGCGATCTCGGCGTTACTGAACCACCCGGCCGTCGTAAACAACCTCTTTCCACCAGCCTCGGGCTTCTCCAGCGCCAAGATGTGCGAGAGCGCCAGGTCACGCACGTCGATCCAGAGGTACGCCGCGCCGGTGGGCGCCACAGCGTCCTTCCATTTACCCTTGACCAGGTCCACAACCCGCTCGTTGGAGGTGTTGATGCTGTTCAGGTCCGCGAAATGGTGTACCACGGGACCCAGCACGAGCGGCGGCGTAAGCGTGACGAGATCGAAGCCGGGCTTCTCGTCCTTGACGAAATCCCACGCGGCTTTTTCGGCGAGCTTCTTGGAAGCGCGGTACGCCGTCGCGGGACTGCGTCCGATATCCTCGACCGTGACGGGGTTCCAGAATGCCTCTGTGAACGTCGTGTTCGGGTCCTCCGTCTTGGCCTCGTCAATCACAGACGCGAAGCTCGACGTGACGACGACCCTCTTGACGCCCGGCGCGTCTCTCTTGAGCGCCTTGAGGATGGCCGTCGTGCCGACGACAGCCGGGTCAATGAGCTCCTTCTGGGCGTCGGTCCACTTGAAGTGGAAGGGGCTGGCGGTGTGCAGCACCGCCTCGAGGCCGGGCGTCTTGACGACCTCGTCAAAGGCGTCCTCGCGCGCAATGTCGGGCACGATGGCGACCTCGAGGCGGGATGCGTCGAGGTCCTTGTGGGCGTCGCGGATGCGCTGGGCCTTGTCTTCTGAGCGGACCGTCGTTACGACGGAGTGTCCGCGCGCGAGGAGCTGTTCGAGGATGTGTGCGGCGATGAAGCCGGAGCCGCCTGGTTGGTGTCAGTCGTCTGCTGGGTGGTGTTTCTCGCATCCCACCGGATGGAGGGGCATTGATTTGCTTTTGAGATGTGTGGAAGTGCGGCTGTAGTATAGCTCATCATCACTTACCTGTAAGTAGAATCTTGGTCATCTTGTCGTTTGTATAACCTCAATGGCTGTTCTTGAATGTCAATTGAGACTCAATGAGGATGAGTAAAACGTAGAGTTTCAATAAATGTTCGGATCTAACGGATTGAGACTTAAGTTTACATCAGACACTCCAAACCATTTTATCTTTCCCAAAGTACAGCTCGACCCCTCCACCACCCAAGACGCCGTCACTTTACCCCTCCATTGCATGATGATTAACAAACACAAACCCCCAACAAATGCCCCGCTCTCTCGACCCCCCGCGCACCATACCAATCCATTCAGGTTCCAGCGTGGGTTGCGTGGGGACGTCGTCACGTCATCCCAGTCCTCTAGGGCGCCATCGATTCGCTCATCTGCTCTCAGGTGGTCCCACCCCGATTGCCTCGGGCACCTCCTCCGGCCGAAGTCGGGACTAATGGGGCCGGATTTTGCGGGTGATAATGCCGGCCGCTGACACATCCCCGGTAAAAATGGCATCGTAGCCGGCTGACGTTCCGATTCATATGCCTCCTTAGCTTGGGTCTGCACAAGTCTGGATTCCGAGAGTTCGACCATGGCGACATACATACACCATGTCATGCTAAAGGGTTGACGAATAGCATTGTCTGTTCACATTGTCGAGTCACTCAAGCTACGAAACATCAAGTCTTGCAGTAAAAACCCTGCTCTGAATTTATTCCCAGTTCGCTATGCAGTCAATTCTCTGTTCCGGGCGTACTAAAAAAATAGGGGCGAAAAACTCGCCCACCGCCGCCTTAATCTTCTCTGTCAATCGTGGTATCATGAGCAAACAAAAAATCGCTTTTTGGTGCCGCCCCCTTTTCTTTTCTTCTTACCCTAGTGTCCCGGTCCCCCTGTCTCCCTTTTTTTCTACTCCAGAAACTGCTTAATGTGGACGAAAAAGCATGCCGTCCCATATATAACATGTAATTTTTCGTAGTTGAAATGCCAACCCTTGGGTGCTACGTCCCTTCAGGCAACACAACCCGGCGGCTCTTGTTGACGACAGCCTTGGTCTGCTGTGAGGTGTAGGATCGTTGTGTCTCGAATGACACTCCGGTCAGAGTAGGTATCCTAAGGATAGAGCCCAATTCTCCAAGACCTGATCCTGTCTTACTGTGAATCCTGAAAGCCGTCGTGGTAGTAATTCTGGTAATAATCGTTGATAACAGCGGGTTGATGAAGATACGAAGCCATGAGCATGTCGTCACTCTATGATACGCTAGCGCTGGCGCTTTCGCTATATGCTTCAAGCTCCCTAAGACTTTGCATCAGAGCGGCTTCCTTGAGATCTTCGGTCTCCTGGCTGTAGACCGCTGCAGATGCTCCAGTCGTATAATTCGGTGCAGTCTCAGCAGCTTGGGAGACCTGCGACTGGATGTGCTGCTGCTGAGATTGGTGCTGCGGCTGTGGAGCATGGTGTGGCGGTTGTGGCGTTCCCGGGTGAGAGTGATGCTGAATGTGGGAATGTGTCGGTGTTTGTGGCTGAGTTTGCGGCAGGCTGTGTGATGTTTGGGATAACTGAGCAGCGGTTGCGGCATAGGGCGAGGAGGCAGGCAAAACTCGAGCATGTGTTGGTGTTGCTTGGACCGGTGTGGCCGGCGGTCCTGATATAGCAGCATGCGTCGGTGTCGTTGCGTGGGCTGCCATATGATGCGAGACCTGGGCGGCAGACTGTGAGGGCGTGCTTGGTGCAGTTGCTGGTGTCACGCTTGCTCTATTTTGCTGAAGGTGCTGCGCATGCTGTGCGTGCTGTGGATGCTGTGGATGCTGTGGATGCTGTGGATGCTGCGGGTGTTGGGCATGTTGAGGGTGATGGGGATGTTGAGGATGCTGTAATCCACCCGCCAGTGTCATGATACCCTGTACCCTAGCTTGTTCTTCCTCTGAGTTCATCCGAGCTCGTTCCTCAGCCTCCTTACGAGCTGCTTGTGTAGGTGCTCGTGTCTTGAGCTCGCCTGTGACGGCTTGCAAATAGTACGGCATCTCGGAGTTTGTCTTTAGGAAGAAAAGCTTCAAGTTTCGGGCCTTATCCTTGAGCTGGACTTGAGTTCGATCTTTCAGTATGTTGGAAAGAGTACCCTCTGCACCGAATAGAGAAAGAATCTGGCTCCAGTGAGGTCCCTGGACCATGTCGAGACCAGTCATAAGGGCCTTCTCCTCTTCTTGAGTCCAGGGACGTCTAGTTGAAGTGGTGCCTTCTCTTCTCTGCTGGTTGTTTGTCTTGCTCAAGGCAGCCTGGCGAGCCCGGTCATAGAGCACAGCACTAGGTAGGCTTTGACTGGGAGGCAGCTTCTCGTTGCTCTCATGAGCCGCAGGCTGCGGAGGCTGCTCTACTGGTGGCGGGTAACCGTAGTAGGGTGATTGTTGTTGAGTTTGTTGCAGGTGTGAGAGATATGTCGTCTGCGTAACCGGAGCGGCACCCGTCGGCGTGGGTACGGTCGGCTGGTAGGGTGCTGGTGACAGGTTGTTGAGTGTAGTTCGAACGTACTCCTGTGTGCTCTGTGCAACAAGCGCGAGGATGTCATTCGTCGAGTCTTGGCTTTCAGTCGTGGTGCCATTTGTGGTCGGCGCCGGGGGAGCGGCTTCAGGCGCAGGCGCAGGCGGTTCGGGAGGCGGGACACTGCTCTCAGTCGTCGGAACTGGCGGTTGTTGTTCGGTGGGTAATCCATCGACCGGTTCACTGGGGAGATATTGCGCAACCAGTCCGTCTGTGGCCTCCAGTAGTGATGAGATTCCGAGGTCGTCAAGATCAGGTGGCATTGATGCGTCGAGGTCTCCGTTCGTCATAACTTGCGGCAGGTCGATGCCGTGTCTTGATGCCAGCCCAGAGAACGACTGTAGCTTTTCGCGCAGGTACACGTTCAACTGGTGGAACAGGTCTTCCTCCGGATAGCCGATCTTCAGTAGAACTAAATCGACGCATCAGCCATGGCCCAATGAGCCTTTGCACTTGACAACTTACCGGTATCTGGGAGGCCCGACGCGTAAGTGATCAGGGATGTTTTGCGCTCCTCAACAGATGTCACCAGAGCTCTCTCTTCTGCAGTCAACTCAGATCCCTCATGTCTTGCTCTTAGTCTATCTTCCAGGCTGGACGAGAAAGCCTCGGCGATCAACTGATCAACGGGCCCAGACTGATTCGCTGATGTCACGGACTCGATAACTAGCTGTGTCTTGACTGCGAGGAAGAGCTCAGAGATGTCGTGCGAAATGCCCTCGGATCCTGGCGGAAAGACGGTGAAAAATTTGTCCTCCAGAGCCAAGAGCTCGCTTGAGCTGAGTTGATGTTCACCGTCGAATGTGAAAAGTTCGCAACAGAAGCTAGCGACGTTGGCGACTTGGATATCGGTAAGGTTATCTGGCGCAGTTAGGTCAAGCACCGCGGGGTCCAAGATAAGGTCGGTCGTGGAGTAGATCGATCGAGTTTGCCGGAGCAGAGACTTCAGTGTACTAAAAGATTTGCAGAGGTCTGAATCCCTGTCTTGCAACTGCTGATACACGTCGTGGTAGACATGTTGCGACATGACGACGAGGAGTTGCATAGCCTGGGGGTTGAGATATGATTAGCGGCGCCTCCAGAGCTGACGAGACCGCCACGTACAAAGTTTGACAAACAGGAGGTGGTAATGCGCCTCATCAAAGCCGAAGGCTCAGAGAGAACAATGGCGTGTGTGTCGGTTGACGGGACAGAGTCTTGCGACACAGATGCCAAGTGGTCTGTCGTCATCTCGACATCCGTGACGCCGTCCAGGCCCTCGACCTTGCCTATCTCATTGTTCATTTCGTTGTTCATCTCGTTGCTGATATCCATCATTACACCCTGGATCATGGCATCCATGTCAAATCCGAGATCGAGAGCCGCATGGTCGTCGTGGTTCTCCTCGTGGTTCTCCTCGTGGGATTGCTCGTGAGATTGCTCATCAGGTTGCTCTTGAGCTTGTTCGAGTGCTCGCTCGAGTGATTTCTCGATCGATTTCTCGAGTGACTGCTCGAGTGACTGCTCGAGTGACTGCTCGAGTGACTGCTCGAGTGATTGCTCAAGTGATTGCTCGATCGATTTCTCGAGTGATTTCTCAAGTGACTGCTCGAGGGTTTGCTCTGATGGTTGTTCCGGATTCTGTTCGGGGAGTTGATCCTCATCAACTTTTAGCCTCTTGGACTCGGCCTCGGGGTCGTCTGCGCTCGAATCGCGGGGTCGCTTCAGCGGAAACTGAGGGGTCTCGCCCAAATCGGTGGTGACAGTCGGAGACTCTTGCTTCATTTCTGGTCCTACTAGGGCAAGTCAGCATGGTTTGCGACGCTTGCGAAGGCGTCCCTCGGGTGCGTGCAAGTCGTTTCGAGGCTGGTGAAGATCTTTGCTTGGTGGGATGGCGGGAAAGGCAAGCGCATACCTGTCGGCGAGTGCGCCTCAGGCTTAGCGGCCTGAGCCGACTCGGCAATAGCTTCAATGCCCTCCATGAGCATCGAGAAGCACGGAGACAGCTTTTTCGGGTCAGTCTAGTCGCCGTGCAGCTCAATGGCGGGGGGGTCAGTCGTGATCTTGACGGTTCTTGGACTGAGGCGGAAAAACTTTTTGGGAGAAAATCCGAGCGCCGATGCCCTTATAATCTGCCCCAAAGAAGATGTCACTCCCGATACACAGGAAGGAACGATTTCTCAAAAAAATTCACCGCTGCTTCCCAGTAAAGAATGGCTGCTGATTGGCCGGCGCAATCAAAACGCAACCTGGTCCATGCGTTTGGTCTCCACTCAGCCACTTTATCGCAACGATTTTTTTTTTCTTCCAGTCTCCCCTGCCCCTCGGAGCCGCGTCCACCTGCGCGCCGAATCCAGATGGCCATCCCAACCCCTCAATTTTTCCGTTCTCAAGACGGGAAGCTCCAAACCTTCTAGGATGGCTGCCGTTGAATCTTTTTCTGCCTCAGGAATAGGCCAATAGAATTACTCAAGCCTCATCCCACCTGAACAGTGGATCGATTGCCTGCCTTGTCTTTGATCGCATACTCTCTTGTGTAAATGATACAGTTTGTCACCCAGCAACGGACTACTTTTTCTCAAGGTACCTTGCAGGAAATATTTGTTGCCATCCCGCATGACGTCATTCCCCAGATTCACCCCTTTAAGTCTGGGGACTCGGTAGATCCCAGTCCCTCTTGCTTGGAGATTGATGACGAGGGGATCAGCATGAGATAGATGTCACTGGCCCGTTCTGCCAGTCGCGACCGCCAGGAAAGAACTCCTTACGATTCGGCAAGGCATTGCAATGAGACCATAGCCACTTCACTTGAAGCAAGCCATACGCTGGTGAAGTCTAGACGTTTATCAATGGCTCAGGATGTTGTAGTCCTCGAGCTCCAGACGTGACGAGTGATGCATTAAGTTAGTGATGGAAATTTCACAAAAAGCGTAACTCTTTCATCATTGGATCGGAGGCCCGTGATCAAATGATCATATCTGCCTTCACTTGGATTGAAACAGCAGGAATGATGAGTTGGAACTTACCTACCTACCTCACCGAGGTAGAGGTAGAGGTAGTGACTTCCATCTTTGGCATTTCTGCATCTGGTGGCAAGGGCCCAATGAGTGTTCCTTCCGCCTTGGTCAAAACCGAGTCCAAGAGCGAGCGTGCCTTCCTCCTTCTCAACTTTTCCGCCTCTGACCTAACATGTAATGAAGCGAGCGCATAACTCCCATTCTTTTCCATCCTTCTCCCGTCCATTCTCCTCCATTCTCATCACCACAGCTGTCAATTCTCCTCTTCGTTGCCGAATACCTACCAACCCAGATCGGCACAAAAAACGCACTTTGATACACTTGCTGGAGATGTTGGTTCAGACACTGACTGACAAGGAGGATTCCGAGGAAAGCACACAGCTGCTGGACAAGCCCAAGGAGGTTCTTCTAGCAAGGATTACGCGTTTTCTGAAGCATCCGGACATCAAGCATGATCACATCGCCACCTTACAGGGTGCTGTAACGCCGTCCAAGATGCCTTACCTCGACAACATCGATGCCAGACTTGAGACTCTGACACATATGCGCCACCACCTAGATACCCAGATTAGAAAGAGCCCGTTGAAGTATGGTGGTATCGACTTGAGGCTGGTTAGCAAGCTGACCTGGGCATTGAACATGATTGCACCGATGGAGGTCATTCGCGAGGCTCATGATGCAGTGGAAGACGGCATAGATGATGAAGAAGTTGATATTGGTTGGGTCGTGAACTGGGGTGTTTGTGGTAATGACATCTTATTGGAGGCCATTAGGATGTGTGAGTCACGCAGAATCGTTGCAATGAGTTGACATGCTAATTCGAGTTCTAGTCTTTCCGAATCCCGACAACCATTCATTTGACCAACTGTTTGTCTGCTGCGACACTGATCGCTCCCAAATTGATGCGCTACCTATGAGCGACATCGACCTGGCTCAGATGAGAATTTCCATGATCTCTAAACACGTGTAAGAAGGTACTAATCAGAGCAGCTCGCTTGTTTGCTTCGAGATAAGGACACTTGTGTCATCACAAAATCTGCCGACCCCCAAATCTGCCTGGTTCTTCAATTCCCCGACGAGGTTGATGAGGCTTGGCTGAAAACCATGTACCAGTATATGCAAGCCTTGCTCATGTTTGACGTGCCCTATTTCACGGGCGATTCGTTCTCCTTGGCGAACCTCATCTCACTCAACGATACTCTGTCGAAATGGTGGGCGAAGGCCTGGATCGCCCTAGAACCTATTTCACAATCCGATGTCTCAATTCGGCTTCGGTTGAGATGGCTCAGAATGCCCATGTTCGATGAGGAGAAAGGTCATACAGCGGGAAAGGCTCATGAGGGTGAGGGCGGAGCGATGTGCCCCAGAACCGTATATCTCGACGCAGACCCACGTCTGATCTCCGAGGAAAGACGCACCCAGTCTGGCAAACCATTTCGCATGGTCCACTTTGAGACATGCGAGTACATTGAGGACGGCTATGAATTCGACATAACGGCAGAGAAGAAGGAAGATCTTCCAGACTTTGGATCGCTTTTATTCCGGTACAGACTTTCACTACTTATATCCCTGAGCGGCGAGGGACTGTATTAGTGGAAGTGAAGGAGAATGTTGTATCAAAACTTTGTTTCAGGTCGGGAACATGCAGAGAAGAAGTACATGATATCAGAGATGGACGTAATGAAGGTGAACAATGCCGCTGAGGTTTGCAACAGGGACACTCGCCTGTATAGGCAATCGGACAGAGTGCGATTTGCTACTTCTCATGGCAACAACATTCACATATACTACTCAAAGCAACGAGGTAGTGATAATTTACTACTTGAGACGGATGTATAGGACCCTTCCGACATGTGAATATTCGTCACAAACCCATGGCAAAGCCTTGAACAGCCCTATCAGCCTAGGTACTCGACGCGGCAGAAGTGCATTCCTCCCCCTCGTCAAGCCTCAAGCGTTTGCCGAGGAGGCTTCGGCTAGCAAGAGATATCCCAGGTCAAGTCTGGAGAAGGTATTCTTGCTTTCCATTGGCTATATAAACACGGCAATTTCCGAAAGAAAGGTACCTGAGAGCCGCTTGAGTCCTTGGGAGCCAGCATGTCGGTACTCTTCTCTACGGGGGGCGTGTCCGAAGATACCAAGCATCCTGTCTTCAACCTGATTCGTCGAGTACTCACGATGAACCCCTACATCAAGAGCTTGGGGAAATGTTCAAGCTCATTTGCCTTTGTGTGCATGTACCCTTGGGGAGGATCCTGCCTCCGTGGCCGGAGCCCTTTGCCCGTGGTTCTCGAAGCATGTCACGGTCGTTTTCACAAAGCCATCGTCACCACATGATTTGGAGGGAATACAAGTTCTCCGGACAACACCAGCTGACAGATCATTCAAGTACATGGTCGTCTTCACTACTCGTGGCGGGCACCGGGTGAGCGGTTCTCCCAAAGGGTTCCCGCAGATGCCCGCAGATGGGGCCGGCCGGCTTGCATGAGTGACTTACACCCCAAGTGAAGGGTCGAGGTCGAGTACCTTAGGTCAACTAATATGACATTTTCCACTTGAAGGCAAAACATGAAGGAGTAAGAACCGCACCAGAACAATAATAGTACCTATATTGCTTCAAGCCAGAACCTCTCTGCATATTGACTGACAGAGTACGCTCTCGTCCGCCCGTACGGGCAGAGGGAAAGACAGCGTCTGTCCAGAGGAGCCGCAAAAAGTGCGGGGATCCGGGGATCACCAGATGGCAAACACCGCCCGCCGCCCAGCCGGGGCGGCTTAGCTTAGGACCATCCAAATTAATCCCAAATCACTAGCAAGACAAAAAAAAGTGATCCAGATTACACCGCGTCTATTGGACCAAGAAATGAAGACAGTGGGCGCCTAGCAACTTTGAACTTTGACCATTGAACCGGGGGGCCAGTAGTGGGCTGGCGGCAGCCCCAGAAAATAGAAATCGATGAGAAATCACACCCGACGCTTGTGGGAAATGCAAGTGCGGATCCGCACAGGTGAAGCAAGGCGGCGGCGCCGTGGCGGGCGGGTTCGCAGCCTCACGAGACATGGGGGAATTTCAATGTCTCGGCTCTTGGCATTTGACAAGCTGTTTCTTTCGGACGCAGGGTCCGGTCGGGTTCCGCGCGAAGAATCCGTTGGGGACTTGTGATTCCTTATGAGTGTCGAAATGGCACTCGTGTAGGTAGAACTCTTCGGAACGATTTTGGGACATTTGGATGTTTGTCGGAATTGAAGGTGGAAAGACTGATTCCGAACATTGGGGGCACGGTATTACCTAAGGTGGTTTATGCAGTGCAGTACGAATACAGTTACGTGCAGGGCTGAAGACAAATTTGGTATCCTTTCGTCCCAAGTGTCAGAATGTGTTGACATCGAGCATGTTGATTCATAGCTATTGACACGATACATACGATTCGAAAACTTTGATAGATGGTGCATCTATTTGCGGTCCCGCGTCCAGCTGGAGAAACAATATACAGATATGCCGGGGTACACAGGACAGACATAGGGAAGAGCTCCGTGTAGCCGTGAAACTGCCATCAGACCGAAAGAGACTGAGAAAAGCTCACCCCACAGAATCCCCAACAGCAAGCACTGAGGCAGGCCGCTTCGGCCAAGAGGGTTCGTTGCTGTCGAATGATGTCGGGGACAAGGAAGCGGAAGCGACAGGGGGGATTCGGGTCGGGGGCGCGGCAGGAATTCGATGGAGGGGCAACCGCAACCAAAGAGCAGGGGCAGAGAGTGAGATGGGAATTTGCGGCGTCAGGATGGTGATATATCGACATCCCCCGATACTGAGAACACGCCTCCCCTCGGGCTTAGCTAAGGTACACTAACAATCCTAGATCCACCTTTTGGGTTTCTTCGGTGCGGGGGATCTCTGAGCAGAAGGGTCGTTCGCTGTTATTTGCACCGAGACGTGAGGCCCGGCAAATGGGCAGTAAAGACACCCCGAGAAAAAGAGAGGAGTTTCAGACCTCGAAAAGCTCGTGGCATTAAAGTACTGTAATCTTCTCCTGAGCAACGGTTAGTATTTCGACCCCGTTATCTTGTCTGCAAGTTGCTTAACGCCGTAGGACGGAGCTACCCTACCCCCCTTGGAGGTGTAGGAGTTAAGATGCTGCGGATGCTGCTCCAAAGCCAAGACACCGTGAAAGAAACTTGGAGATGTATGTGTACGGATAACATGGGTGGGTCGGGGGGTTCAGGTATGCCGTGTCCGCCCCAGTCTCCAGAGCCCGGTATGGAGAAGAAAAAAGGTAATCTCAATCTTACCGGTAACCTTCAAGGTGGCAGGTCGGGGCCCCAACATTCACGGGCAGCCACCGAGCAGACGTAAGGTACGCTGCAAATACGCGTGCGTGTGTCGTCAAGGTGGGAATGAAAAGGTGGGATGGAGGGGGAAAGGCGGAGGAGACATGGTACGCAGCCCGCCCCAGCCAGTATGCTATGCTATGCTATGCTATGCTATGCCAGGCGAGGTCTGGGGCCCCAACAATGAAGTGTGAGCCTGTGATGAACTGTTTCGTCCCATATGCCGGGCTGGAACGGAACGTTAGGTATTCTGACTCGAATGTCAGGGGATGGTTTGGGTGTGTTGGGGATGTAGTGTAGTGTAGTTCAAGTTGCTGACTGCAGGCAATCCGCTCGGAAGTATCTGAAAACACGCGGCGGGGAACTCCCGCCCCATCCATCCATAGCTCTCACAGATACCTACCTACACTGGCAGACTGGGAGCAAACAATGCAACGGCATGGCTAACCGTCTGATCATCTCTTGGAGGATGGGGGCTTAATGCCGAAAGAATCCGGGGTCATAGCAGTGACCAGTGTGCTTTTAGACTTTTGATTCGGCATTTCTAAGCACACTATGGTACGGATACATTACATACATTGGTCCCGAGCTTTAATTCCGATGTGTTTGATGCCCATCTGCCCAGCTACGGTTGCAAGGTGGCACGGTAGTTGGCAGGGATCGGCAAAGAGCAGCAGCAGCAGCAGCGCAGAGCCCGTCAGTTCCCTAGGTGATGCCATTTGTCACAGTATCCTAAGCAGGACCCTCGGCCAGGTGTAACAGCTGTGGGATTATTGAATACCCAGAGGTCCAGAGGGGGCCCAGAGGGAAAAAAAGATGGTGTTTTGGTGTGTGTGATGAACCGCTTTGAAGCGGGTGTGGCTGCTGCATCTAGACAAGACCAGCAATTTGAATTATGCTGATTGGTCTGTTGCCCAATGGAAGACGCAACTTGTGATGGAGAAAATGCGGGGTCGAGAAAGTGGAAGAAGGGAAGCGGAGAGAGAGAGAGAGAGAGAGAGAGAGAGAGGGGTTCATAGCTCTGGGGCGTGGCAACCAGTCAGAACAAGAACAAACAAGCAGGGCAGACATCTTCCTAGAGTGTACAGAAGAGAAGGAGAGAAACTGAGAGCCAGCAACTGACACATTATCAAGGATAACCTATCTCAATACCCGTCTACGGAGTACACAGTAGTCCAATATCACCATGATGGTTTCGCGATTCTTCTTCCTAACATGGGGCCCCGGGGAATGGGAACGCGGAACTCAATTCCCACCGAACGGAACCCACAGTGACACACCCCCCCTGGGTGACATTCTGGTAAACTTGGGCCGAGTCAAACAGGCACCACCTAGTGACAGTCTCGACTTCTCTCTGGTGTCTAGTGCAGAGTAGGTAGTGCCTAGACCTGCTGTCAGCCAGCACAGCACATCAACGCGCCGGTGGATAGCTTATTGCTCGTCCGGTGCAAAGGGGACGAGGAAACCTCGCCTTGAGCTGGCCGAGAGGAAAGGAAAGCCAGGCGTTGGCCCGAAGCGGCATCCACTATTCCCCGTTTAGCTTGGGCCCATCTTCCATCCCTTGCAAGTTTTGTTGCAGGATACAACATCTTTTCTCTGTTGCTGCCCCTCTGTTTCTACCCTCAGTGCCCCAACACTCCAACACTAACAGATGGAAGTCCACCCTAGCTTGTCAATATCTGGTGTATCGTGTGCCCCCCCTCGTCCATTGACAGCATGCAGACGTGTGTCTGGCTCCCAATGTGGAGATGTCAAGTCCCAGTCCAGTCCACCGAATGACCGTGTTTGACGTTGCTCCGGCCCATGGGGGACTCCCTTTCATCCAATGCCCATCTGCGGTTCCGGTACGGATAGACCAGGCCTCGGTTTTAGTGTGAGATATTGCAGACTCCCCCTCATCCTTTCTTTCTCTTCTGTCCCCCCCTCCATCCGTCCACCCTCCTCCTCCTCCTCCTCCTCCTAACCCCCCTGCCCCCGGACTCCACCGCCGTCGAGCAAGGTATCGCCTTCGCCTCCTTCAGACTCCAGAGTCTCTGACAATTCGTCCCTGCCTTTGCACCGCGCGGTATCACTTTCGGACTTGTCTCCCCCGGCTCTGCTCTGTGCTCTCCCCCCCCCCGGACCCCGCTTTATATACAGTCTGTGATCCCCAGCTTCTTCTCCTGAGTTTCTCCTCTCCCTCTCTCACTTCTCACTACTCTCAACTCACAAACTCCATCTCAATCCAAACTATTCTTTTTCTTCTTTCTTCCGTGATACCAAATACCCCTCCACGTTTCGTCTTATTTCCAAAAATCACACAATGGGTTTGTCCGTTGAGCTCAAGACCCCGGTGACGGGCCCCTACAACCAACCTACAGGACTGTGCGTATCCTACCCCTCAATCTCTTATCCCGCCGCTACCCCGCGAGCGATGACGACCTCGAAAACATGAAAGAAAAAAAAAGAAAAAGAAAAAAAAAAGCTAACACATCGTGATCTTCCAGGTTCATCAACAACGAGTGGGTTGAGAGTGTCGACAAGCAGACTTTCGAGGTCATCAACCCCTCCACCGAGGAGGTCATCACCTCCGTCCACGAGGCCACCGAGAAGGATGTCGACATTGCCGTCGCCGCCGCCCGCAAGGCCTTCGAGGGCGAGTGGAGAAAGGTTGCTCCCAGCCAGCGTGGTTACCTCTTGAACAAGCTCGCCGATATTGCCGAGAAGAACACCGACCTCCTGGCCGCCGTCGAGTCTCTCGACAACGGAAAGTCCATCTCCATGGCCAAGGGCGACGTCGGTGCCGTCGTCGGCTGCTTGAGATACTACGGAGGCTGGGCCGACAAGATCGAGGGCAAGACCATTGACGTTGCCCACGACATGTTCCACTACACTCGCTCCGAGCCCGTAAGTCACAATTACTCGCTACCGCAATTGCAACTAGGACAGCGAGCTAACAAACTTGCCCCTTCCAGATCGGTGTCTGTGCCCAGGTCATCCCCTGGAACTTCCCCCTCCTCATGCTCTCCTGGAAGATCGCCCCCGCCCTGGCGACGGGTAACACCATTGTCATGAAGACCGCCGAGCAGACCCCCCTGTCCGCTCTCGTCTTTGCCCAGTTCATCAAGGAGGCCGGCTTCCCCCCCGGTGTCTTCAACCTCATCAACGGTTTCGGCAAGATCGCCGGTGCCGCTCTCTCCTCCCACATGGACGTCGACAAGATCGCCTTCACCGGCTCCACCCTCGTCGGTCGCCAGATCATGAAGGCCGCCGCTAGCTCCAACCTGAAGAAGGTCACCCTCGAGCTTGGCGGAAAGTCCCCCAACATCGTCTTCAACGACGCCGACATTGAGCAGGCCATCTCCTGGGTCAACTTTGGCATCTACTACAACCACGGCCAGTGCTGCTGCGCCGGTACCCGCATCTTCGTCCAGGAGGGCGTCTACGACAAGTTCCTCGCTGCCTTCAAGGCGCGTGCTGAGCAGAACAAGGTCGGCGACCCCTTCCACCCCGAGACCTTCCAGGGCCCCCAGGTCTCCCAGCTGCAGTTCGACCGCATCATGGGCTACATCAAGGCCGGCAAGGACGAGGGCGCCACCGTCGAGACGGGCGGTGCCCGCCACGGCGACAAGGGCTACTTCATCCAGCCCACCATCTTCAGCAACGTCCGCCCGGACATGAAGATCATGCAGGAGGAGATCTTCGGCCCCGTCTGCGCCATCGCCAAGTTCAAGGACGAGGAGGAGGTCATCAAGCTCGGAAACGACACCACCTACGGTCTGGCCGCTGCCGTCCACACCACCGACCTCAACACCGCCATCCGCGTCAGCAACGCCATCAAGGCCGGCACCGTCTGGGTCAACTGCTACAACATGCTCTCCTACCAGGTGCCCTTCGGCGGCTTCAAGGAGTCCGGAATCGGCAGAGAGCTCGGCGAGGCCGCTCTCGCAAACTACACCCAGAACAAGTCCGTCGCGATCCGTCTGGGCGGAGCGTTGTTCTAAGGAGGGTATCTTGGTTGGAAAGGTAATGAAAACTGGGGCTTATTCCGGCGCAAATGTGTACATGACCTTGATGTAACTTTTTTTTTTCTTTCTCGTTTCAAATATCACGTTGCATGATACCAATAACAAAAAACAATCAAAAACTTGTCTATCTCACGACTGTAGTGAACGTGATGTGTCAGTTGGCCCGGGTTGCTCGATTTCAACGTTCGGAGCCAACCGGCGCGGCCACGGTGATGCGATCCACTTTTACCGATGCTCTCCCGGCCAGCATCCCCAAGGCAGGTGCGTGGTGCACGCGGAAAGTGTTAACGTTCATCTCCATGGTAAGTATCGTTCAAGGCTTAGTTCTGAGAGCTGTCACTTTCCTATGCTGCCTCGCAAACTGCCAACGCTGATGATTCTGAGTCTCTCTAGGAACCTCGCAACATTCTCGGTATCTCGTCGGATATGACGGTATAATTTGGATCACAGCGGACATCGCGTTCTCTCCTGACGAGCATTCAACCTGGTGATACAGATACCTAAGTGCCATAAGCAAGGTATCTTACCTTACTTGACTGACCGACGAAGCTCATGTTCATATCTGTGCAGGTGGCCTGTGACATCTCAGACAACAAACCCTCTTAGACCCCCGCAACCTTCAACCGACACAAAACAGCCTCATTCCGATCAACCGGGCTCCCAGGCCCACAAACCACCGTAAAATTATGCCAATCCCTCGTCACATCCACATCCAACCCCTCCACAGCCTCATACCTCTGCAACATCCTCGCAACCACATACCCAGCCTCCGTCAGCGCAAGCTGCTGCCCGATACAGATCCTCGGCCCACCATTAAACGGCACAAAATGCCACGCCGCGCCCGCGGACCCCCTTTTAGTCTCCCACCGCTCTGGCACGAACTCATCCGCGTCGTCGCCCCAGAGATCTCTGCGGCGGTGGAGCACGTGCGTGCTGAAATTGACTTCCGTCCCCGCGGGCACGAAGACGGGGTCGGTGCCGAGGGGTCCGCCGCCCGTGGGGAGGGTTGTGTCGCAGAGGGCGCGGCGGGAGTTGAAGGGGACTACGGAGTGGAGGCGGAGGGTCTCGGAGAGGACGTGTTGGAGGTAGGTACACTGCTTCAGAGACGCGAACGTCATTGTTGTCTCCGAAGGGTCTGTTGAAGAGGAGGAGTAGTAGTATCCAAAGGTTGATGTGATTTCGGCCCGGAGCTTGGTGAACACGCGCGGGTTGCGGACGAGGCAGTACCAAGCCCAACTCATCAGCGAGGCAGTGGTATCCCGCCCGGCGGCGAGTAATCCCAACACCTGCTCGCGGACTTCTTCGTCCCCACCGACGCACCGCGCGCGGAGGACGTCGAGGAAATCGTAGCGCGCTAGGGAGGAACCCTGGGCTTTTGCGCTGTCTGATGCCGCGATGGCGGCGTCGACAAAGGCGTGGAGCGTCGATACGCAGGAGTGTAGGTCTTTGTTCCCGTAGACCCAGTAGAAGCCCCGGAGACGCATGCGCGTGCCGAGGACGGCGAGCATTTTTTCAAAGGCGTGGTTGAAGGCTGTGCCTGGGTGGGTTCGGTCGTTGTGCAAGCGGGCAGAGAGGGTGGATGTGCTTTGGCCTAGGAAGAGTTCTGTTGCGGAGTCCAGGGTGAGGCATGGGAACAGCGAGGCGAGGCTTACGGCGGCGGACCACCATGGTCCATTCGCGGTCGCGGTCACGGTCGCCTCCTTTTCGATGCAGAGGAACAGCGTCTGGACGTGCGCCTCGAGCAGGTCCAGCCTGGAGACGTTATCGCGGCTGAAGAGAGGCCTCATCATCTCCCTAGCGGCGCGCCACGCCGCACCGTCGGCCGCGAAGATGCTTCTACCCAGGACCGTTTTCAGGTTCGTGCTGCGGGCGAGGCCCATGCCGAAATCGTGGAATTGCGTGGCGAGGAGGGCTTGGATGTTGCGCGGGTCGGCTGTGACGAGGTTTGTTGTGCCGAGGAGGGACATGCGGAAGGTGTAGACGCCGCCGCCGCCGCTGCTGTTGTCGTTGTTGTTCTTGTTACCATTGTGTCTGAGGGCCGCGAAGCGAGCGGCGACGTGGTCTGGTGTGCGCTGTTCGCGGTCGGCGCGGAGGGAGGCGAGGACGGTGTCGAGGCCGAGGGGGTATTTTGAGGGTTCTAGGGGCGCTGGGCGGCAGGAGAGGTTGCGGGCGCGTCTGGCGTGGGAGATTGTGTGGTAGAGGGTTCGCAGGAGGTGGAGGAGGAGGAGGAGGAGGATGGGGATGAGGGTGTACAGCGGGATGCTGTGAAGGTCATGATATTGTTTGAGACTTGTGAGCTGAGGTAAGGCGGCTAAGGGAAAAGTGTGAGCCGTCATGTTGCGTTTGGTTTCTTTGGCCTGGTGTTTGTAAGGCGTAGTTGGGAGACATGCAGTTGGTACTGTAAATTGGTCTCTTGACTCTGACCGGTACATGGAGTCAAATTGACATCATCATCGCCATCACCAAACTTCAACTTCACGATAGCTGTTAGCTTTCCTGACGAAAAGCATACAGCAGGTCCTCTCCACGTTGAATCTTTGGGCAGTCATTGGTCAATCAGTCCATGTCACTCAACGTCACCGGCTTCGTTGGACCCTGCGCCAACGTGCTCCAGATGATGCTTGGCATTGGTCCAAAAGCTTGAGCTCTTCAAATGACATGGGAATCTGATAAAAGGGTCCATCGCGAGGTGGGGGCCGTCAGTGATCCGAGAGCAAGGGACTTTGAGGACGAGAATGAACGGGGGAGTGGCCCATGGGTACCCCTGGGTGCGGTCCGCTGACTCGGACGTCAACCGTTCTGTTGCTAAGTGACAACTCGGGGGAGGGGGTTCGATACAACCGGGTCCTTGACTCGATTTTACGGAGATGGGTTCGTCCGATTATGTGTGATGTGTTAGAAGGAGGGCTTGGTCGTCGTGATGACAGGTCGAGCACAAGCTCTGCTCGAAGTCAGAGTCAAGATTGGTCTACAGTAGGCGTAGGACAAAGTGCAGGGAGATGATTGCTGCTAGAGTCGCATCAACAATGAATATCTCTTGATGGCAAGATGCGTTTCTACAGCAGAAATATCAGTGTGATTAAACTACACTGTCTACGACGGCTTTTCTATGGTTCTGTAGTTCTGGGCGAGGCATCTCGCGCAGCGACTTGACAAGTGCTCTAGAAGGACTTCAAGAAACTACTCTAGGGCGTAGCCTAATCATCAAAGGAACCTTCTCCCACATAATATACGTTCCTTGCTTGCTCCACCAATCTTCAGAAGGGTTCTCGAGCTCAAAGTCGAAATTCCAAATCATCTTGGCCATCGTCAGGCTCATCTCGGCGTACGCCATGCTGAGAGATTGTCAGCGTCTTCTCCAGTTTCTCGTTTCTCTTGCAACCTCCTTGGAGGGGCTACTCACGCTCTTCCAATACAAATACGTTGTCCATACGAGAACGGCTGGACTGCCGCCCTGTCGTCATCAACGAACTCAGAATCGGGGCCCAGCTCAAGCCATCTCTCAGGAATGAACTCTCGAGGCCTGCGGAAGTTGTGTTCCGAGTGTCCCGCCGCGAATTGATTCACAGCGACGGCGTATCCGCCAGGAACCCATCTGCCATCAATGACCTCGCCCTCCCCCGGAACCCATCGGGGCAGGGACCCGGGCGTCGGCGGATACAACCGCATGCCCTCGTCAATACACGCGCGAAGGTACCTACAATTCTGCGCAGCAACTATTGTAATATCCTCCTGCGCCCTAAACTTGCCACGAATCTCCGCCTTTACCTTTTCGAGCTTCTCCGGGTTATGTAGCAGCAGGTACGTCAGGCCAGACATGCCGCCGGCGGTGGTCCCGCTGCCGGCGACGATGAAGGTGCCCGCCAGCATTGTAAGCTCAACGTTAGTGAGCGGCTTCTCCTCCGTGTTGTCGAGGATGTAGGACATGAAGTCCTTGCCCGGGTTCTTGGCTTCGATGCGTTGTCGTACTTTGGCTTCCGTCATGGCGATGTGCTTACGGCGAGACTCGGTCACGCGGCGCGGCGCGATCCAGGTGAGATGGTCGAACACGCCGTATTGTACTGTTAGTTGGATCCAGACGTAGGCTTTTGCGCGCGTGCTGATGAGGCGGAGCCAGGGCTGGTCGGCATTGTTGAGGCAGTTTTCAGAATTGCCGAAGGCGAGGTCTGGGTGAACTCTTCGTTAGATTCGCAGGGTTGACCTCCCCAACCTCACGAGCCGAAGATACTGTGAATCAAGCAGGTCACTCACCGTTGAGAATGTCGAAAGCAAGAAGATTGAACCAGGTTGACAAATCCACCGCGCCCTCTTTACACACCTTTTTGAGTTGATTAACAAGAGTATCCGTATAGTCCTGAAAGTAGTACTCCTGCTCACGCAACGCACGCTCAGAAAAGGCCGGGTTGATGACGCGCCGGAGCTTCGCGTGGCCCGCCTGATCCTCCGTCATTAGCGTCTTACGGCCTCCCATGGTCGGCGGTGCGATGCCACGGCCGTCGAGGGCCTTTGGGAACTCGGGCGTGCGCTGTCCGTAGATCTTCTTCCAGGCTGTGGAGCTGGTGTAGGAGAGCTCGTCGGGCGCGATGCGGACGACGGGGCCGTACTGGTCGTGGAGCTCGCGGATGCGCCAGGTGATGCGGCCCTTCATGTTGACGTAGTTCCATGGCAGGCGAGAGATGGCCCAGAGCTTGGGGCCTGGGTAGTGCCGTAGCGGGCTGAGGTAGAGGTAGTAGAAGCTTCTGCAGAAGATGTATGTCGCGATCTAGAACATTGGTGAGATTTCGGTCTGAGAGGACTATTTGGTTTACTGAACTTACCAGACAGAGAGAGGTGATAACAGTGTTGAAAGCTGAGATTGCTGGAAACTTGCTCAGGTGAGCTTGAACCTGCTCAGGTAAGTTGGATATGACCATCGTGATGATTGGAAATTCCTCAACTCGACCACGGCGTCCGTACTTGTTCGACCCAGACAGTCTGCGTCGCCGTTGACATCAAAAAAAGCTTCTCAAGTCTCGCCCCTCGAGCTTGGCCCTTTCACTCATAGCTATAGCGGAGAGCTCGTCGGACCATGTCCCGCAACAACACGACCATGGCGAGGCTCTCCGCATGTGTCGGTTCAGGGTCTCCTGGGATAAAGAGCATCACTGAGCACGTCTGCCAATGAAAACCAAACATCGTCGCACGTTCTCACGGACCCGCAAAGAACCATCGTGGGATCCATACGGAGTGCTTGAGAGGAACGCGATAAGAAGGTCGCTGCGGTTTCCGAGAACTCGATTCATGCTGAGCGGGCCACGACAACCGGGGAGTCCCGGACTGCCATCTCCAGACCCTTGCATACCGGGCCGGACTGCTCAGTGACTGCCGAATCTTGCTTCCAGGAACGGAATCTTTGTAAAAACCCCTGGTTCAATTAGCTGCAGAAGAAAACTTTATTTCCGAGACATCCTGGAGCCGAAGCACGAGTCAATGCTTGTTTAGAAAACAAGCTCATTACCCCGGTCTTGGCCGTTCAGTTCAAGACTTCGAGGGGCTGGATCCATGGAGATTTGGAAATTCCACGGGTTTTGTTCATGGCACGTGGGAACAGTCTGCCAATGAACAGACAATAGGTCCTTCGCCACGAACCTCTGCACAGAAATGACAGAAAATCCGCTCTTCAGTTGCGCCCGTACATAGTCCGACTTCTGGCATCCCTGGCTGGTCTCAGATTAATGTGTGGGGATGTTGAGGACATGGCGGAGTTGAGCCGGTGGTTCCCTCAGGTAGAGAAAGGATGATGATTTACTCCACATGTGATGTTTCCGAAACCGGCTTCGAATTCATTCATGCAGTCCGATGGAACATTGCTGTCGAGCTTCACAAGTATCTGACTGCTTGGCAAACTGGCCATGACCTCAGCTTAGCATTCAAAGACACCAGCATAATGACGAGAATCACGAGCCCCGAGACTATCCGGGACGAACTGAGACCCAGACTCTCGGCCGGAGCCTGCATTCACCTCACCGACTCTGAAGAGTTTGGGAGATCCAACCTCAGATTCACAGACTATGAGCGTCCGGTCAGTCCGGAGCAAGCTTCGACCCGAAGACTCATGCTGACTGCAGATTGCCACAGACGTACCTTGCGGCTGTCGAGCCGGCGTGCGAAGAAGATGTGATTCAGGTCATGAAGTATGCCCGGGAAAAAGGCATTCCGTTCGCGCCACGGTCAGGCCACCATGCTGTTACTACAACAATGCGGCACCTGAAAGACGGGATTCTCATCGACATGCGCCCGCTGAACAAGCTGGAATTTGATGCCGATGAGCGACAAGTTACCGTCGGTGGAGGCGTCATAACGGATAACTTTGTCAAGTTTCTTGGCTCGGTTGGAATGGAAGTCAGTAAGTACTCAATGCTGAGTATAGCATCTTCAAGATGTAAGCTGATACAGTTGCAGACGTCGGTTCCTGTCCGACAACGGGCGTCATAGGAGTGGCATTCGGAGCCGGCCTCGGCCGCCTTCAAGGCAAATACGGCTTCTTGCACGATAACATGGTGTCTTGTAAGCTGGTACTCGCCGATGGTAGCGTTGTTCTGGTGTCCGAAGACTCGAGCTCCGAATTGTTCTGGGCTATCCGCGGAGCTGGGCACAACTTTGGTATCGCGCTAGAAGCTACGTTCCGGGTATATCCCCAGGCAAACAAGGGCATACATTACACTTGGGACCTGGAGTATACTGTTGAGCAGTGTGATGCTGTCTTTGAGACTCTCAATAACGTTCATGAAGTTATCCCGGCCAATTTGGCCATCTTCGTGCTGTGGGTTCGCCAGAGCGAAGGTGGTAGGAAGGTGAAGAATGCTTATCCAACCTTATTCGTGAACGCACAAGGCTAACATGCCATCTTCTCAGCACCACATACTTGTCAATCTTGTTTGGTCTGGCCCCGAAGCCGAGGCAGATCCATGGGTCCAGCAGTTCGAAGACCTGAAGCCCGTTATCAATAGCGGAAAGGTGATCACGACCTGGGCTGATCTTCCGTGGAAGACATACAAAGGCATGAATCACGTTCTCAGTAAACCAGAGGTCTGGTCCAAAGCGCCCTACAAGATGATGGGAGCTGCTTGCGTGGAGAAGTTTGACCTCAAGACCACCCGGGCATTCTTTGAGAGTGTCAGATCCATGAACGAAGAATGGGCGGGCAAGGGCTTCTTCGGAGCCATGTTCGAATGCTTGCCCCACCAAAAAGTACGAGAGCTGCCCAGCGAAGCGACGGCGTTCCCTTGGCGCTGGGGTTCGAACCATTTCTTGTAAGTTGATTGACGTACCGAAGCTGTTGCTTTCACTCGGGGAGAAGCAACACTGACTTATTTTCACAGAATGCTCATGGCGACGCCGTTGAAGCTTGAGTTTAGAGAGAAGTTCGAGGAGCATCTTGATCGATGGAAGAAGGAGTTCATCGCAACGTCGGGTTACGGTCGATTGCAACAGTACGTGAACTATGGCAACACAACATCTTCGATGCGAGATCCCTCAGAGGCACTTTATGGGTACGAGCCGTGGAGGCTAGAGAAGTTACGCGCTTTGAAGCATCTTTACGATCCTGATAATGTGTTTTGCTGGTATCAGCCTTTGGTGGAGCCCGAAGCTTCGGATGTTGCGAATGTTATTTGACATCTCAGTGTGTTTATCAAAGTCCTATGTAGATCTATCCAATGGCAAATGATGAAGTTCTTTGCATAGATGCAACTCATACTTTCGATGAGCACCGAATAACTTCCTGGGAAGGAAGAGCGAGCGTACATAATTCGATGGTCCTCTGCATGCTCCGCCACCGGGACCGGTGCAAATGCACAATCAGCCAAGAATATTCATATCCTTGAAACACCTCGGAGACGTACTTGGGTTACTCCCCGTGTCTACTTCTTGCACAGAGCCGCCGGCAAGACGCGTCATGAATCCATTCCAGCTATGCCGGCGGCAACTCACCCAAGGGAATCTTCATTACCAGGACAACTAAAAGGGCCCACGTGCTGCGAGATGTGTTGTAAAGACTCAATTGTAGCATGGGTATGATTATTCGCCAATCGATCCAGGCTCCAGCTCTGCTAGGGTATCCCGAGACCCGAGTCAGCGGCACCGCGAGTGCTCCGCAACGTAATATCAGATGCGAGACCCATCCACCAGGGGGTCCAATTCAACTGCCCCCGTCAAAAACGGAGCCTGTTCTTGTTGGAACCATACATCCCTCGGATTCCTCCCGTACTTGGCAGGACCCTTGGCGATCGGGATGTGGAAACGCCCCGGCTTCAGCACATAGAGACATCTCTGCCATTGTGTCGGGTTGTCACCGCTCTGGCGTAGTCCTGCTGCGCACAATACCGGGAGACAAGAGGCCGACAACGTGCCTGAAGGATATGACGGTATTGGGTGAAAGACGTCGTTTCGATGGAGTCGTTCGGACTTTGGCCAAGGTAGGCATCTTTGTTGTTATCTGATGACATGGATGGACCTCATCTTGAGGCATTGCCATTGTGAACGGAAATGCGGAATCATCCGATCGAAGTTGCATCGAAGCAGACATATGATACCTGAATCTCTTGTAATTCTTCTTCATATTCACCTTAGTTCTCTCTGACACTCTCGTCCTGCCCAACCTACCTTCCACTATCCTGCTAAGATACCCAAACGCTATACCTATGAATAATTCCCATTCTCTCTTTCCCCATTACACAACATGCCGTTCATTGACGAGCCCACCCGTGCTGAAAGCACATGTCAGCCCATCGCCATCATCGGCATCGGGCTGAGAGCCCCAGGCGATGCTTCTGACCCAGAGAAGTTCTGGCAGATGCTCTTGGACGCTCGCTCTGCACGGTCCGAGATTCCCAAGGATCGCTACAACGTTGATGGCTTTTACCATCCTGACCCTGAAAGACTTGGAAGCATCCAGCCCAGGTAAGCCAATCATCGTTGAAATCCTTTACTCTTCCAGCCTCATCTTTCTTTTCAGACATGCGCACTTCTTGAAACAAGACTTCAAGGTGTTTGACGCACCATTCTTTTCTGTCACACCCAAGGAAGCTAAGGCTATGGATCCGACTCACCGGATGCTCCTGGAAGCAACATACGAGGGGTTTGAGAATGGTAAGTCTACAACAATCTAGCAGAGGTGAAAGAACACCCCGTTTGCTAATTGTTCATCAGCTGGTCTGAGACTGGAAGACGTCTCGGGAACTCAAACCTCATGCTACATTGGTACCTTCACCGGAGACTTCCCCAACCTGCAAGCTCGTGACAACGAAGGACCCTCTATTTACCGTTAGTACCCAGTCCTGCTATTCTGTGTTCTAGCATTGCAATATTGATACCTCATTGAAGATGCTACCGGCCTTTCTTCATCCCTTGCCTCAAATCGGCTTTCGTGGTTCTACAACCTCAGGGGTCCCTCTATGACGATCGACACTGCATGCTCATCTAGTCTGACGGCCTTCCACCTGGCTTGTCAGAGCATACGCACAGGAGAGGCAGAGATGGTGAGTGTGAAACGAGCACATAACAAGAGTTCCCCTTACGAGCGGGGAGATTGCTGACACAAACCTTGTGCGACAGAGTGTTGTTGCTGGCGCCAATCTCATGTTTGGCCCAGACATGTCCATCCTGCTCGGTGCCGCCAAAATTCTCTCTCCCGAGGGAAAGTCCAAGATGTGGGACGCGAACGCCAACGGCTTCGCTCGCGGAGAAGGATTTGGCGTCACTATTCTCAAGCCCTTGGATGCCGCGCTTCGCGACGGCGATACCGTCCGTGCTGTTGTGCTGGCCTCAGCAGCAAACGAAGATGGCAGAACCCCTGGTATCTCACTGCCGAATAGCGAAGCTCAGCAGGAGCTTATACGCACTGCATACCGCAAAGCTGGCGTTGATCCTGCAGAGACTGGCTACGTTGAGGCACACGGCACGGGAACGCAAGCTGGCGATCCTCTGGAAGCCCGTGCTATTCTCAAGACGATAGGAGCCCAGCCCAGCCGCAAGTCTGAGCTGTATGTTGGCTCGGTAAAGAGTATGTTCAGCCCCGTTTTGATGTTTCTTTGAACTATTGTCTCTGAACCATTGCTGATTTCGCAGCCAACATCGGTCATTTGGAGGGTGCTGCTGGTGTGGCTGGTGTTATCAAGGCTGCCTTAGCCGTCGAAAGGGGACTGATCCCCCAGAACTTGTGGTAAGTTCTACCCCTAGGGGGATTCTTGTCGACCATCTGACTGATGCATGTTTTGTACAGGTTCGAAGAACTCAACCCCCAGATTGAGTTACCAGAGAACGTCAAGATTCCCACAACCCTTACCGTGTGGCCTCATAGCGGCCCACGACGTGCTAGCATCAATTCTTTTGGCTTTGGAGGAGCCAATGCCCATATCATCCTCGAGGATGCTGCATCCTATCTCCTTCGCCATGGTCTCCCAGGACGTCATGCGACCGTCCCTAAGCCATGCCTGCCTCATTCTCCTTCCAGCAGTTCCAGCGATATCGGCTCTGAAACAGAGACGACGAGCATCATCAGCCCGGAAGATCCCAGCTCAAAACTCTTTGTGCTTTCCGCCAATGATCAAGAGGGCGTTAAGCGCAACGTCGAAAGAATGATCGACTATCTTGCCACCAAGACCTCTGGCCAACCTCTCTCAATGACTGACCTTGCCTATACCCTCTCTTCGAAACGGACAACGTTGCCCTGGAAGTCTTTCGCCATTGCTTCCGACATTAACAGTCTCTACCAGAGCCTCGAGACCATCCCCGCTGTTGTTAGATCGTCCAACTCATCTGTGCCGGGCGTCGCCTTCGTGTTCACTGGCCAAGGAGCCCAGTACTCCCAGATGGGCAAAGGTCTCTCCGTGTACAAGGCTTTCAGAGACAGTATGCTGCGCTCTGAAACAATTCTCAAGTCTTTCGGCTGCTCCTGGACGTTGACCGAAGAACTGGATCGCCCCGAATCCGAGTGCAACCTACGCCGAACGGACTACAGCCAGCCAGCTTGCACTGCCTTGCAAATTGCTCTCGTTGATCTTGCCAAAGAGTGGGGTGTTAAGCCTGTCGCCGTTGTTGGTCACTCTAGCGGCGAGATTGGAGCCGCCTATTGTGCAGGCTTCATCGATCATGAAGCGGCGGTGAAGATTGCATGGCTGAGAGGTCAGGTTTCCAAGACTGTTTCCAAGCACGGCGGTATGTTGGCCGTGTCTGCGAGCGCCGAGAGCGTCAGCGAGCACCTTCAATCCCTGAAGCTCGGAAAGGCCATCGTCGGCTGCCTCAACAGTCCCAAGGCTTGCACGGTCTCTGGTGACGATGTTGCTATTGGCGAATTGCAGGAGATTCTCAAGGAAGCGCAGATCCCCTGCACTCGCCTGCCGATGGATGTGGCCTACCATTCGTTCCACATGGAAGCCGCACGAGAGAGATATGAGGCTGCTCTGACAGGCATCCCTCATCGATCTTCCGACATTCCCATGTTCTCCTCTGTGACTGGAACGCTTGTCACTCCAGAGAAAATGACACCTTCCTACTGGGTGGACAACCTGGTTTCTCCCGTCAACTTCGTGGGCGCCGTTCGTTCTCTTCTGCACCATACCCAAGGCAAGGCCCGATCTCATGATAGGTCTGCGTTTGCCAGTGTCTTTGTCGAGCTGGGTCCTCACTCGGCTCTGAGAAGCTACCTGCTCGACACATTCTCTACTGAGGACAGATTCTCGGACCTGTCCTATGCCACGATACTACGACGCAAGTTCGATGGGGCTCAAACTGCTCTGGAAGCTATGGGACAATTGTGGACCAAGGGGTGTGACGTTGACATCAACCGCGTCAACGAAGTCGCAGCTGAGACCGGTATGCTCGTGGACTTGCCACCATACGCATGGAACCACAAGCTCTCCTTCTGGGACGAGTCCTACCTCAGTCGCGAATACAGACTTAGAGAGAAGCCACGTACCGATTTGCTTGGATACCGAATCCCGGGCACTCCGGATCCCACCTGGCGCAACTTCCTCCGGTGCAATGAAAACCCCTGGATCCGCGAACACAAGGTCCAGGGCGACATCCTTTATCCCGGGGCGGGTATCGTTGTCATGGCTATTGAAGCAGCCCGTCAGCTTGCGGAAGAGAACGCCACAGAGGAGGTCTACGGATACGAACTCCGCGATGTTGCTATTGACACTGCCCTGAGAGTGCCGGACACCGACAAGGGCATCGAGGTGATGATCCAACTGCACCCTCGTCGCACTGGTACTAAGGCTGGCCCGTCAGCTACCCTCAACGAGTTCGCTGTTTCTTCTTGGTCGGAAGACATCAAGGAGTGGACGGTGCATGCGCGAGGACTGGTCTCTGTCACCTACAAATCGTCTCTCTCTCCGGCCATGCAGCGCGAGCTGGGCCTTGAGAACAAGCGCTACGCGCAAACCTTTGCCGAAGCCAAAGAGATCTGCCAGAAGCCTGCACGAAGCTTTCTTTACGACACTGTTGAGACCATCGGCATGCAGTATGGCCCGACTTTCCGCAACATGACCGAGCTTTTCGCTGGACCCAGTTCAAGCTACGGTATCATTAGTGTACCGGATACCAAGGCCATCATGCCCAAGGGTTTCGAATACCCGTTCGTGGTTCACCCAGCGACCCTCGACTCTGTTCTGCATCTTCTCTTCCCTTCCATCAGTGGAGAGGATCAATCTCTCAGCGAAGCAGTTGTGCCATTCTCGTTTGATAGGATCTTTGTCTCTGCGAAACTCTCCACAGTCCCTGGAACCAAGCTTCATGGATGCTCCACAGCCCAGAAGACCAGCTACACCACTTGGAAGTCCTCTATCACCATCTCCGAGAATCTCTCTGAGCCCATGATTATTATGGACGGGCTGTCTTTGGCTTCTGTTGGAGAGGGAGACGCATCTCAGACTCAAGAGACGAGGGCCTCTTGCTTCGGGCAGACTTGGCACGAGGACTCGGACTTGCTGGAGCCCTCGCAGATTAAGGAGCTTGTCTACAAACGTACCCTCAAGAGCAAGGATGACGACTCAGTTCTTGACAAGCTTGAGTACGTCTGCCTTGTTCACATTTACCGTTGCCTCGCCTGGCTCGAGAGTGAGGAGGGCAAAGCTTTCGTGCCCCAAGATGGCTTCTGGAAGTCTTATGTCGAGTGGATGCACGATACTATCAAGCAATTCCCTCCTCTTGCTACCAATGAGGCGGAAGTTGAGGCCGAGCTTGACGCCGCGCGCAAGAGAATCGTTCTGTCTGAGAGTGGTGACATAACGGTGCAGATGGTCGACCGCATCGGAGAGAATCTGAGCAGGATTTTCTCTCGCGTAGTCGAGCCGTTGCAGGTCATGACCGAGGGCGATCTTTTGTACTCCTTCTACCGTGGTGCATTTGGAACCAGCTTCAACACCAACGTTGCTGAGTACGTTGGATTGATCGCCGACAAGAGACCCGGTGTCAACATCTTGGAGATTGGTGCTGGCACCGGTGGCACCACGTACCACGTTCTGGAGCGCCTCCGCAATGCCGATGGAACTTCCAAGGCGGCGAAGTACTGCTTCACAGACATCTCGCCGGGATTCTTGGCCAAGGCGGCCGATCGCTTCTCGACTGACGCATCCATCATGGAATTCACCACTCTCAACATCGAAAACGAGCCTACCGAGCAAGGCTTCACGCCTGAGACCTACGACCTCATTGTCTGCGCCAACGTACTTCACGCCACCAAGAGTATTCAAGAGACACTCGCCCACTGCAAGTCGCTCCTCAAGCCTGGTGGTCGTCTTGTGCTCTCTGAGGTTACGATCAAGCGTATCTTCAGTGGATTCATCATGGGCCCCCTTCCTGGATGGTGGCTTGGCGAGGAAGACGGGCGCATGGGTGGTCCCCTCCTGGATGTCGAGGAGTGGAACACTGCACTGAACCTGGCCGGCTTTTCGGGTGTCGATGTCGACATTCGCGGCGATCGCGAGGCTTCCAAGGAGCCAGTCTCCTTGATCATCTCGACGAAGCCAGAGAAGCAGGTGTCTATCTCCTCTCAATTTGTCATCGTCAGCACAGGCTCCGAGCTATCTGAAAAGCTTGCACAGTCTATTAAAGAGCATTTCGTATCTACTGGTCAAGATATATCGATCGCTCAATGGAACGAGGTCTCGGAGAGCCAGGTCGACGGAAAGTACTGTCTCTGCCTCGCGGAGTGGGAGAACCCCATCCTTGCCAATCTCACGGATGCGAACTGGGAGAAGTTACGTCAAGTGATTCTTGGCTCCGCCGGAACCCTCTGGATCACTGGAGGTGCTGCAATGGAATGCGCTGAGCCGATGAAGTCGTTGATGGTTGGTCTTTCAAGAGCCATTCGCAACGAGGACGCAGGCGTCCGGCTAGCTACCCTCGACTTGGAGACAGCTAGCAACATCAACTTCGAAGAAGCTGCCAGCAATGTCCTCAAGGTGGCTCTAAGCCACAGTCGTGGCGACGGCTTTGACGGCGAGTTCGCTGCTCGCGGCAGCACCGTCTATATTCCGAGAGTTGAGAGAACTCTCAATGTCGACGGCTCTCTTCGCAAGTATGAAGCCAAGGGACAACCGGAGCTCGTCTCGTTCAAGGGATGCGGAAGGCCTCTGAAGCTCACCATCAAGACACCTGGTCTTCTCGATACCTTCAGATGGGAAGAGGATGAGACTTACTATCAGCCTATGCTTGAGGACTGGATCGAGGTCGAGGTCAAGGCAGTGGGTCTCAACTTCAAGGATGTACTCGTCGCTTTGGGCAATCTCGCCGAGAACAAGCTCGGAGTCGATGCATCTGGAGTCGTCACTCGCGTCGGCTCAGCGGTCTCGGATTTCAAGGTCGGCGATCGTGTCATGACCGCCTCTTGCGACACTTTTGCGACCCACGTCCGCTTCCCGGCCAAGGGTGCCATTGCCGTCCCTGAAAAGATGACTTTCGAGGAGGCGGCGTCGATGCCCCTCATCTTCCTCACGGCTTACTACTCCCTGGTCACAGCCGGAAGCCTAGTCAAGGACGAGAAAATTCTGATCCATGCCGCTGCGGGAGGTGTTGGTCAAGCCGCAATCATGATCGCACAACGCAAGGGCGCCGAAATCTTTGCAACTGTCGGCTCGGACGACAAGAAGCAGCTCATCATGGAGCAGTACGGAATTCCCGAGGATCACATCTTCAGCAGCCGTGACACCAGTTTCGCAAAGGCCATCATGCGGGCTACCAACGGCCAGGGCGTGGATGTCGTTCTCAACTCCTTGGCTGGTGAAGCTCTTCGCCTCTCATGGCACTGCCTCGCCAAATTCGGTCGCTTCTTGGAGATTGGCAAGGCCGACCTCTTCGCCAACACGGGTCTCGACATGAAGCCCTTCCTCGATAACAAGAGCTACATTGGCGTCAACCTCCTCGATTTCGAGAACAATCCCACTCCTCGCGCAGTCGCTCTCTGGGAAGAAACGGCCAAGCTCATCCACGATGGCTCCGTCAAGCCCATTGCGCCGATCCAGCTCTTCTCCATGGCCGAGGTTGAGAAGGCCTTCCGCCATATGCAGGCCGGCAAGCACATGGGCAAGGTGGTCGTTCGCGTAGACGATTCCGACATGGTTCCTGCCGTTCCTCGTATGCCGAGTGTGGACATCCATGCCGACGCCACCTACGTTGTTGCCGGTGTCGGTGGTATCTGTAAGGAGATTGGACGCTGGCTTGCCGAGAAGGGTGCTAAGCATCTCGTCCTGCTTTCTCGCTCTGCCGCCAGTAGCGAGGAGAACATGGCTTTTGCCTCTGAGCTTCAGAAGACTTACGAGGCCAACACGTACGCATATGATTGCGATGTTGGCGACAAGGCTGCCCTTCAAGAGGTGCTGGAGGACTTGGAGGCAAAGGGTGTCCCTGCTGTGAAGGGATGTGTCACCGGTGCCATGGTTCTCAGAGTAAGTCCAAGCTTCAACTACATCAGGATGATTCTGTGGCTAACAACTCACAACAGGATACTCTCTTTGACAAGATGACTGCGGACCACGTCCGAACAACCGTCGGACCCAAGGTCCACGGTACCTGGAATCTGCACGAGCTCCTCCCGCGAGACCTCGACTTCTTTGTGATGCTCAGCTCCCTCGCCGGAGTCATGGGCCACCGTGGACAGGGCAACTATGGCTGTGGCAACATCTTCCAGGACTACTTCGCGGCGTACCGCCGCAGCCAAGGCCTGCGTGCCATGACCATTGATATTGGCTACCTTCTCAGCGTCGGCTTCGTGGCCGAGCATGACGAGTATGTAGACCACGTCAAGGCGATGGGCCTCAAGGTGATGCACAAGAGCGACCTCCACGGCCTCATGGCCACGGCGCTCGAGGGCTCCGAAGCGCACCCGCCGCAGGTCATGTGCGGACTCCCCTACAACGAGCACGATGACGCGTGGTACTGGATCCAGGACCAGCGGTTCGCCGGCCTCAGGAAGACCGCCGCGGGCTCCGGAGCCGGCGGTTCTGCCACCGTTTCCCTCCGCGACGAGCTGGTTCGCTGTGGTAAGGCGGACGACGAGGCTGTGCACCTGATCACCTCTGCTCTTGTGCAGCGTCTGGCCAAGTTGATGATGATGCCCGAGGACGATGTCGATGCGGGCAAGCCACTGAGTGCTTATGGCGTTGACAGTTTGGTTGCTGTTGAGGTTAGGAACTGGATTGCTAAGGAGGTGGCGGTTGAGGTTAGCGTGTTTGACATCATGGCCAATATCCCCATGAGGCAGCTGGCGGCGGATTTGGCTGGGAAGAGCAAGTTGTTGGTCCAGGAAGCTTCATAGAGTGCATGTTTAGTTGTTTAGATCGCTGGAGATAGGAGTTTGGGAGAAGTTTGGTTTGGTTTTGGTTTGGTTTTGTTTTAGTACTTCTGCTTTGGTTTCAGTTCAGTGTGTGCATGCCCTATAATGACTGGCTGTAAATATGTCGAGAGACAAAGCGGGCAGACACGGTTTGCTGTACTTAAGAAGAGAAATATTAACTAAAGCCTTCCTTGACTGCACGCACAGTGCTACGAAATCCCAGTGCTCCTATCTCTTAAAGCATAGCTCTTGATAGAACGACAGATGAAGCATACGCCACACCTGAAGCTCTTAAAGATGAATCGCTCATTGAACCACTCACCGGTCTATCTCAGCATTACCGACAGCTTGACTCCGACCATGGCGATGTTCACTGGCCCCTGTCTGCAAGGTTGAGGGGAATACAGCGCTGAATATGTTTTTGGTAAGGACATAATCCACTGACAACGGGGGCTAAGACTGACAAGCTTTGGCGATGTTCATGACTCGCCCCCTGAAGACAAGGGATCCATCAGCGGAAACCCTCTCGACAGCAGGACCTGAGCGCCTGTCACTTGTCCACGTGCTTGACGCTGTTCGTTGATATCAGTCATTGTCTTTGCTTCTTATCTCGAGTTCCTTCGGAGGGCTAGAGTCTGATTTAATTGTGTTTAACAGTCAATCGCTCTTGATTCTGGTCACTTATCTCTCACTTTCACCACCTTCTTCTTGCCTTCAGTCTATCGTTGCTCACAACGTATGCTTCCTTAGCAGTAACGTTAAACTCCAGTAACAATGGCGTCTCAGACTCTTGCACCAGCGGCTTCAGTGCCTCATCCCGCTAAAGAAATGAAAGTCCTTTCTTTGGGAATGACACGGACTGGTTCGTCCCCAAAGCGCTGTAACTCACACATGCCTACAGGGCACTAAACAACTACCCAGGCTCTGCTTCCATCACCAAAGCTCTCACAATCTTGGGCTACCAAGGAGTCCACCACGGCATACAGGCCATATCTTCACCCCGCGAATGGGCGCTCTTTTCTCGCGCCGCGGACTCGGTGTTTCCCACACTCCCGACTCACAACGGCGCGCCGTTTACCCGCAAAGACTGGGAATCCCTCTTCGGCTCATACGAAGCAGTCACTGACATGGGTTCCTTCTTCGCGCTTCAACTCATTGAAGCGTTTCCAGAAGCCAAAGTCATCCTCGTTGAGCGCGACGTCGACAGCTGGTTCCATAGCATGGACGAAGCCATCTTCAAGACCACCTGGGGCTTGCGCGCGGACCTGGTCATTGAGTTTCTGGGGTCAGGGCTGCTGTCCCCAAGGACCGGCTTTTGGAGTTCAAGTTGGAGGACGGCTGGGCGCCGTTGTGCGAGTTCCTCGGTAAAAACGTCCCGGGCAGCGTTGAGTTCCCTGTGGCGAATCAGAGGAAAGAGCATCTTGAGCGCGTCAGAACGAGACAGAACCGGTTCTTCAAGCTCGCTTTCTTTACTGGTCTGCGGAAGGTGATGCCATGGGCATTTGGTCTTGGGGTCGTTGCAGCGGGCGTGTACTTTACGAAGCCGACTTGGAAGCCAAGTCGGTTTGGATTGGATGAGCTGAATCGCGTCTTTGAGACAACACTGAAAGACATCCAGCTCCAGTTGAAGTAAGGGGCACAAATCTTTCATCGTTGGTTTGCTACTTCGCATGTATGTAATGTAGAATTGGATGTAAGATGTCTCGTCCGTACTTGTTTAATGTAACTCAAAGTATTATTCAAACCCGCACGAACGATGCCCTTAAGACTCAAACCAATGAGGGCGCTACGAAGAGATGCCTGCTTGCGCACTGTTCCCATCCCATCAGAATGAATTGGATGCGGTTTAAGCAAAACGCAACGGATGCTCTGGCTAGCAGCCACTCGGAGATCGCTCCGGCGCCCAGAGCCGAGGCCTTCCCGGAAAGGAGGGCGATTATCGGCAAGACCCATTGATATCGGCCCCACTGCTTTCTCCGTCCGGGTCCGGCTTCTAGCGGTGTCCCCCGCAACACGTCAGAATCCTACGAATGACAACATCAACTCTAGTCCACTTCAGTGCACGAAGCCCCTGTTCATCACATCTTGAAAGATTATCTTAGGGTTTGGCAAGCTCGAAGTGATGGTCGCATCGCTACGCCGTTCCTCAGCCCTGCTATTTCCGTCTCCATACTTTTTCTCAGTCCCAATTCCATATCGGGTCGCTATATTCTCTACGCGTAAGACTCTTAGGGCAATTCAACTATTGGGAAACTCTCATCTCATCAATGGAGTCTAATCGAGAAAGAATTGTTCGATGGCTCGGAAAAGGACCACCCTCAAATCCAGGTGTCACATTTGGAGTACCTTGGCGACAAGGAGTCTGCTACCTCTCGAATACCACTTTCATTTGCAAAACAGAGAGTGAGGACGAAATTCCACTACAAACATGGCCAACAGCATTCTGGCCTGACGGATCTGTGAAATGGACAAGTCATGCGATCCCTGCATCAGCGACGGCAGATGGGAGCTACCGCGTCGTTGTGATTGACTCATCGGACGCCATGATACAGACTACAGATACGCTCACAGTCGAGGAAGACTCAGACATCATCTCAGTTGACACTGGAAAGATGAAAATCACTTTTGGAAAGACAGGAAACGAGATCATCAAGGAAATTATTAATGCTAAGGGCAGCACGGTTGGTGTCCAAGGCAGGTTGGCTTTGCTTTCTCAAGATCGCATTTATGACGCCGATAAAGCGGACTCTCTTTTGAAGCACCATAGCTTCTACGGGCAGATAAGTTCGGTGGAAGTCGAGCAGACTGGTCCTATTCGTGGTGTCATAGCCGTTCGCGGAGTCCACGTTGAAGCATCTCGAGAATTTGAGCCGGCTGTCGAAACCCACCAACCATGGGTACCATTCACACTCAGATTCTACCTATATGCCGGGTCCAGTCATATTCGGATACTCCGCACCATCATATACGACGGCGATACAAAGGACTTTGTTCGGGGCATCGGGATTCGCCTCAAGATGCCTCTCCAGGAAGAAGCGGCCTTCGATCGCCATGTATGATTTTCGGGAGCAGGGGGCGTTCTTGCTGAGGCTTCCCAGGGGCTTACTGGGCTTTGGAAGGACCCTGGAAAAGAAGCCAGATCGGCTCAAGTGCAGGGCAGGCCTCTGCCGTCCCTGAAAGTTGGAATCCGGAGCTGCCACAAGCCTCTCTGCGCTGGGTACCCATCTGGAATGACTTCAGCTTGCATCAACTCTCGCCAGATGGTTTTACGCTCGAGAAACGACTGAAGGAAGGTCACCCGTGGATCAAAACCGCGAGCGGTACCAAAGCGGGAGGGGTTTTCTACGTCGGTGGCGCAAATCGAGGAGGGCTGGCCATAGGTTCGAGACACTTCTGGGAACGATACCCAACCGGGATCGATATTCGAGGCGTTGGTGCCTCCCAGGAGGACACCGAGGTGACACTATGGCTGTACGACCCCAAAGCTGGGCCTATGGACTTTCGTCCCTATCATGACGGGTTAGGCCAGCAAGGTTTTGATGATCAGCTAGACGCTCTGAAGATCACTTACGAGGATTGGGAACCGGAGCTTGGGACGCCTTACGGGGTAGCGCGAACGAACGAGTTGGTGATTTCCGTGACGGACTCAACGCCAGATGGTGATGAGTTCTCGTCACTGATAGACTTGGTTCGAGATACTCCAAAGTTACAGCCTGCCCCGGAAGTCATTCACCTCAGTCAAGCTTTTGGTACATACTGGTCTCCACTGTCAAAAGTCCTCTCACCCACAGATGAACGTCTCGAGTTCCTATTTCAATTCTACCAGAAGCAAGTGCAACAAAGGCGTTGGTACGGCTTCTGGGACCACGGCGATATCGTGCACACGTATGATGAAGACCGTCACACCTGGCGATACGATGTTGGCGGATATGCCTGGGATAACTCAGAGCTGTCGCCAGATCTATGGCTTTGGCTGTACTTTCTGCGGACCGGCCGAGCTGATGTGTTCAATATGGCGGAAGCATTGACTCGTCATACCGGGGAGATGGATGTATACCACCTTGGGCGGTACCAGGGTCTCGGCACACGACATGGCGTGCAGCACTGGAGTGATAGCTGCAAGCAAGCCCGCATATCGAACGCCTTGTATCGCCGTTTTTTCTACTACCTGTCTGGCGGTGACGAACGTGTCGGAAAGCTTCTCGAAGAGACGCTTGATACGGATCAAAAGTTTCTGGTCCTTGATCCGTGCAGAAAGGTCCGCAAGGACCGAGAAACCTACAGCCCAGATGTACATGCAGTTGAGATCAGTCTGGGAACGGACTGGGCATCGCTTGCAGCTTCCTGGCTTGTCGAGTTTGAGCGACGAGGGCCACGATGGACCGAAGCCAAGAGGAAGCTGTTCAGGTCCATCGAAGGGATCGGTGCCCTGGGCAACGGCTTCGTTACGGGGAATGCGACTTACAATCCCCCAACTGGGGCCATCTCGCCACTGCTTCAGACCCTGAGAACAATGGAGTGATCAAGGTGTCCCATCTATCAGCGATGTTCGGATTGTTTGAGGTGGCGGCCGATATCCTGCAGCAGTTTCCAGAGAAAGCAAACGTAACTGGTTTCAGGGACGCATGGCTAGAGTATTGCACCTTTTTCAATGCCAGTTTAGAGGAACAGGAAACCCGATATGGTAGACCTGGCTGGGGCAGACTACAGCTAAGACAAGGACACTCTCGCTTGACAGCCTTTGCGGCGAGCGAGCTGAACAGGCCTGATTTAGCTGAACGTGCGTTGGAGGAGTTTGAGAACGGGGTTGGATTTCGGGACTATGGTCCAGACATAGTCTGGAAAAGTACACCAGTGAGCAGAAATCATGTTCTTGAGCCCGCAGACGAGGCTGCTTGGGTTTCTACCAACTGCACTGCATTGTATGGTCTGGCAGCTATTCAGAACCTGGCACTGTTGCAGAAAAAGTAAGGGCAGCAAAGTAGAAGAACGTTCAAGTCAACTACAGCATCATAAGGTGGAGTTTGCTAAAGTATCTCATGTGTTGTTGATGAAGGCGCGCGTCTGCAAGAGGTTAAGAACTCGGCAACTCTAAACGCGACGCGTATTGCAGGCAGCAGAGTGCGGCAAACTTTCCTTGATGTTGATCCTGACAAGTCTGTAATACGATACCGGCCGTTACACCTCAATACAAAACTTGTTGTGATTGTGTGGAGGTAATAAGGTTTTCAATGACAACTCAAGTTGAGTGGGATCAGAAACTCAGTCAAGTAGGGTCTTGGAATTCCCGGGTTCGTCCGTCCTACAACGCGGATGATCAGCTCATCAAAAAGCCTGAATTGGTGACAAATTGACGAATGGACAAAACAATTTGCTGGAACATCCCAACTTCCAGCCAAACGCGAGTGCTCGCCTCGTCGGTTTCGGCTCCGTCCCGTGCGTTGGTAACCAGTAGGAGAGGCGTTGACGGGTACAAGGAGGCGGCATTGAATTTGAGTTTGTCCCGCAACTTGATCGAAACTGTTTCGTCTAACAGACATTGTCGATCACTGCACTTTAAATTGATAGCCCGCCATGTTTCCGCCAGCAGAGTTCGCTGGAGCATGGCAATGCTACCTTCCTGCAACAAACGCTATCCGGCATGGAGCTCTCACGGCCCAATCTCTGAGTGTCCACAACGACGATCCGCGTAACCCTCCACCACAAATAGCCTTTGAAACTGACCGAAATTACCGAGCTATATGAAGCTCGTGTCTGTCCAGACCTTTCTCAATAAGGACAGTTTGTTCGTCTCAATGGTAGATTGGCTGCTTTATACAGCCATCTTACCCTCGTCTGGTCACATCTGCTTAGATCCGGAAGATCGCACGATGCGCGTCTGGTGTTGAGACCGTTGAGATGCGCATGCACTCAAAGAGCATACTTGCGCCACGGCGCCCCGTCCGCTTGGCTGTCTTTCTCGCCGCAGCTTTTGTCACAGTCTTTTTACTTTTTCCTCCATACGAGTCTAGACCGATTCTTTTGTTCCCCAGCACTAGCAGCAGCAGCCAGCCCGAGGAGATCATATTCTGCAAGAGTTCTTTCGACTGGGCGACTTTGGAGCAGCATCACCCCGTCACATCCTTCAAGCCTTTACCGACAGGCAAGCCACTTGGCCTCCCATTAATCCAGCACGAGTTCGGCGTAGGCAATCCGCATCCAGAGGCACCGAAGCGACAGAAAGCCGTCCGCGATGTATTCATCCGAAGTTGGAACAGCTACAAGAAGTTTGCTTGGGGTCGAGATGAGCTAGCGCCCGTGAGTGCCGGGGCAAAGGATACATTTGGAGGATGGGCTGCCACTCTGGTGGATTCTCTTGACACCCTCTGGATCATGGAGCTCAAGGATGAGTTCCGCGCCGCGGCCAATGTTGCCGTAAAGTTGGATTGGGCCAACACAACAGCTACCAGCGTAAACATGTTCGAAACCACGATTCGTCATCTGGGCGGTCTACTAAGCGCATACGATCTCAGCGGCGAACCCGCCCTCCTTGACAAGGCGAAAGAATTGGGAGACATGCTTTACATGGGGTTCGATACGCCAAATCGACTACCAGGGTTTTGGGTCAACTTTGAAGACGCCAGGAAAGGAACTCAGCTAGCTGGCACGCATGACCCATCAGCTTCTCCGGGCTCATTGGCCATGGAATTCACACGTCTATCCCAGCTGACGGGTAATCCGAAATATTTCGACGCGGTGGATCGCATCACGAGGTTCCTAGAAGGCACACAATTCAAGTCGAAACTTCCTGGGATGTGGCCGAAGATGATCAACTTCAGAGAAGAACGAGTCGACACCGATCACAGCTTCACGCTGGGAGCGTTATCAGATTCACTATACGAATATCTGCCTAAAATGTTTGCTCTACTCGGCGGTCGAGATCCATCATACGAGAAGATGTACATCGGAGCGATGGCCATTGCAGAGCAGCACATACTATTCCGACCCATGGTTCCAGATCGAGACGACATCCTGTTTGCTGGTGATGCCTTCGTCTACGCTGAACGGATCGAGCACGTATCCAACGGCCAACACCTCGCATGCTTTGCGGGCGGTATGCTTGGTCTGGGAGGCAGGCTCTTTTCCGTCGACAATCATGTTGTTCTAGGTGAGAAGGTCGCACGAGGATGCGCATGGGCGTATGACGCGTTTCCGTCCGGTGTGATGCCGGAAAACTTCAATCTCATCCCTTGCGAAGCCCGGAAAACCGGAGATACCCAGAAGGATGACGAATGCCTCTGGGATGAGTCGAGATGGAAGAGCGAGGGAGATCCAAGGCTGTCGAAGGGCTTCCGAAATGCGCGCGATCCAAGATATATCCTCCGTCCTGAAGCTATTGAGAGCATATTCCTGTTGTACAGGATGACGGGCCGACAGGATCTTCAAGATATTGCCTGGCGAATGTTTGAGTCGATCCTGAAGGCAACAGAGACGGAGCATGCTCATTCGGCTATAGCTGATGTTACAGTTCCGCCTGATCAGACGAGAAAACTGGACGAGATGGAGGTAAGCACTTGCACACGTCGAGTGATAGATATCCGATTCGATTGCTCCTTACATCCGAGTGACAACACGTTTTGCTGACTTCTTCTTTCTATAGAGCTTCTGGCTTGCCGAGACCCTCAAGTACTTTTACCTCATATTCTCGCCACCGGACCTCATTAGCCTGGATGAGTATGTCTTCAACACAGAGGCACATCCATTCAAAATTCCCAAATAAGCAATACTGCAAAGCCGAGGAAGACCTCGGCTCTCTAGATTTCATAAACGCACATATTGATTCGGGTTGTGGTCATAATTAGTGCACTTAAGAGACCCACGCATGCGTGGAGAAGTTGGAAACAAAGACTGAAGAATACCTAGTATATGACTGAAGGATATATAAAATATATACATGATGTTCATGACCTTTGAAGGCAACTGATGCCATTTCCTTAGAGGCCGTGAAACCACTAAGGCACGTGTAACGATGTCCTAGTAAGTGACCAGGGTATCGAACCATTGGGCAAATAACTCAATCTGGTTGTCCTTGGCAATAGGAAGGGCTTGGAAACCATCACCAAGCTCCATCACTGTCGCACTGGCGTTGCTTCCAGGAGCCCACTTGTCCAAGCCGTCTCCATTCGGATCGCCAGTCTTGATAAAGTTGACCCAGTAGTTGTTCATAATCTCGGCAATCTCGTAGTCCTCGCTGGTCCATGGGGAGTCGGTTCCGTAGAGGTTGTTGTGGACATAGTTGATCTCGCTCATGTGGAAAGCGCCACGAGTCTGCCCAGGCGGGGCGTGATCCCAGATGTAGTTGTAAACCGACGACGTAGCATTGGCTTGCCACAACTGCGACCAGAAGAATGTTCCCACCTTCGAGCGGTCAGTCCATTGGGCGTTCTCGGCTGCCGAAGCCGTAGCCGAGTCGTTGGCAGGGTATGCGGCGAGGAACTTGTCCTGCCATGTGCTGAATGTCTCGTTCAAGTCGGAGATGTAGGTTGCAAGAGTGATGTTGAGGCCGTATTCCGCCCCGCTCTCGTCTTTAGTGTTTCCCGTCATGACAGGGACATCCTGGGCAATTCCCTTCTTTAGAGTGTTGATGTAAGTATCCGGCATGGCGTAATAGTCGAGCGTAGCTGTAAAGCTGAAATCTGAATTGAGAAAGTCGGTGACTAAGTCATCCATCGGCAGAGCGCGCATGCATGCGATATCAGAGCAGTTCAATGAAGCCATGTATCTGCTCGCTGTGTCCATATTCACGTCCAGGGTCCGGTAGTTTTCCGCCAAGCTAGTGCACAGAGGATCGTGAGGGTCGCGGACGCCAGACTGGATGATTGCACCATGGAGAGGAACGCCGTGCAGAGGGCCGTTGAGCATGTGGTAGGTAGCCGCCGAGCCGGCGGACTGGCCCATGACTGTGATGTGGTCCGGATCACCACCAAAGTTGGCAATGTTCTCGTGAATCCACTTCAAAGCGGCAAACTGGTCCAGCATACCGTAGTTGCCCGAGCTGTTCGATCCAGCGCTGCTGAATCTCTCCTGGTTGAGCTCAGGCGCTGCGAGCCAGCCGAAAGATCCGGTGCGGTAGTTGTAGTTGACGTATACGACGCCCTTGTCGGCAATACCTGCTCCGTCGAATAGCGGCATCGCCGCGGTCGAGCCGGCTGGATAACTCCACATGACAACGGGCAACTTAGCATCCGTTGAGTTTGCTGCGCTCCAGACGTTGAGGTTCAAGCAATCTTCTCCGATGGTGTAATCATCTGTACCGCTGCCCACAGCAGAAGGGCAGACACTGCCAAATGACTTGGCGTCGAGAGTTGAGTTCCATGCGACGATGGGTTGAGGAGCCCTGAAGCGATTGTTGCCTGCGGTAGATGCACCAAAGGGAATACCCTTCCAGACGGCGATATCTGCCCAATTGTCAAGAGACATATTTGCCGGGGAGCTATTGAAGACCGGGTAACCCTGAATCAGTCCATACTTTGTCTGGATGGTAGTATCGTAAAGGGCTGCGCTTGCGGCCTGGACTAGCGCAGCACTGACGGCGGCTTTTTGTAACATTGTTGGCAGAAGAATGAGGCAACTCGTTCAAAAGAGTGTAAGAGTTGAGGGCCAACAAAGACTGGGTGTGAATTGATAACCTCAAGTCCATGAGATGTTTCGCAGCAGCCGACAAGGCTCAATATAAGGTAATTTGAAAGCCTTTACAATACTTACATGTTTGGCTACTAAACATCGCTTTACGTTACACTTGAATTAGCAAGGATCGGTGTAGCCGTCGTGGCTCAGAGCTCAGAACATGGCCTATGGGGTGACTGCTCCTAACGGATATAGCGGCTTTACTAGCATTCCATCAACTATTACCATGGCTGAGCCTCGAGCGCCTAGGGGATGCATTACGCGGCGACTGTGCTTGCGATCGTCGCCTCGGACCTTTCCCAGCTTTCGTAATCCTTGTCTAAGTCTTCGTGGGGCTGGTCCGAGAAAATACCACCAAATCGTTCATTGTGCTCACCACAAAACGACCCATTCGGCCGCAACTAAGGTAAGGAGAACGGTGAAGATACTCCTAAGAAAACCGCCGAAACCGAGACCGAAGCTACTTTGAAACTTCTGATGTGATTCTTGGTTCACAGCAAACTCGCACCAAGTGAGTAAGGGAGGTCAGTAGATTGGGGTTGCGTCGCCCAATGACATCATATCGGGGTCGGTGTGAATTGGAATTGATGCAGCCATTTGCTCTTAGTCCAGAAACATGCATATCTAACAATCAGTTCGCGTCAGCTCTGGGTCGACCTAACTCCTGACTTTCAACATACAGCTTGATTTTCGCCTGGGAAAAGATTGCAATCCACAATGGAAGTTGTTCGCAAGTGGAATTGGGAGTGGTTTTTGTGGCCAGATCCTAAATTGGAGCTGAATAACCCATCCTGGCCCGAATACGGTAGGTGAATTGAGAACGATAAATTGAGCTCCTGTCGTGTGGTCACAATGTGGGCATTGAGATGTGTGATAGAGAACGGTTATCCATTGAAAGTAGAGAATAGGTACGAGGCTCGCTCTGAAATAGGTGATGCGAGCGAGTGTGGGCCTCGGTGATTATGTAACCGAGGTCACGTGACGGGTAGTGAGGCCACAGATGGTTGAAGCCATCACGACAGTTCCTAAACTAGGGTAGATGCGAATGGATAGAGGAGACCAATTTCTTTTCCGAAATTTGCCCGAGTCATTGAACAGGAACGTTAGGTGAAGACGGTAGCCTGTAACATAGTTTAGATTAGTATAGACCATGTCGGCATAGCGCCCGGCACGTCCTTTTATTACCAGACGTTAAATACATCATCATCATCATCATCATAAACTAGGGTAGTGAGCACGAACTTCTGAACACATACCTCGAAAGGTACCCACTGTTAGTAATTGTTAAGGTTATAGAGGGCTACGGCCCACTGCACTATCATCTCTCAACATCAGCCCATACGAGCTGAATTCCACGACCATGGCGGTCTCCCTAGATGTAGGGCCATCGATCACGGTTCACGGGGACGCCGGTATATCTCGGCGGTCGGGACGAGTCCGGAAGCCGACTGCAAAGGTCAGAGTGGTTGAGCAGGTTAACCACCAGGACAACTCTGAGCTTAAAGACGAGATCAACAAGCTTTCGAATCTTGTCCAGGACCTCCTACGTCGGGACGCCGAGAGGGAACAGTTTTTGAAAGACTGTTTGACGAAGATCGAATCCTTGGAGAGAGAGCTTCAGGAGGAGAAACAGCGTTCAAACCGGCATCAACGTGGTCTAGCAAGGTCTATACACGCTATTAGCACAGGGCCTAGCGAGACTGACCTGAGTTCCCAGGGGCATCCCTCGCACACAACCCAGAACCAGCCGCCCCTAGTCCGTTCATACGCGGCGGCGGCGAGCCAGCCACTATCCAGAAGACAGGATAAACCAACGCCAGCCAAACAAGCCGCAAAACAAGCTACAAACCGGGCGGCCTTAAAGGATCTACGCATCTTCGCGCGTCTATCGCCTGAAAGCCCGCTTCGGAACGAGAAAGCCTACGATATATATATCTTCGTTCGGGAAAGGCTAAGTCCCCAAGCCCGAGAAGCCCTCAAGGGGATCGACTATATCAAGACAGGATTAGCACTCCTACCTTCGTCAATGGATAGTACAAAAGTCCTACTAGAGAACAGAGAACAGATCGCTGCCCTTCTCCAAGCGCAAGCGATCGAGCAACGCGATACCTAGATCCGAGCCTATATCACAAACGTCCCTTACACCAGGCATTGTCTGGTAACCAACACTGAGCTGGAAATCACGACCGAGGAGCTCCTTGAAGAGATCCAGGTCTCGACGAAACTCAAGCCTGAAAAAGCACACTTCTCTAGGAAGGACGAAGTCGAAAGGCTAGGCACGGTGACAGCCTGGTTTAAGGCGGAAGCCGTAAGGCAACTACCAAGACGCCTCCGTTTGATGGGGGCCAGCGTTTTTATAAACCTGCAGTTCCCGAAGGAGAAGAGGTCTCCTCAATGTCTCCGCTGCGGCGGTTTTCACAACGAACGAACGTGCACCAGAAGGAAGAGATGCCTCAAGTGCAGCTCTCCTTCCCACACAACTGATCAACACCGGGCACCCTGCGGCGGCACTGAGGGTCACGATGGCTGCGACTGCCCCTTTAAATGCCCGTCGTGTAACGGGCCTCACGCCGCCTTCGATGCGACTTGCCCTATCTAACCCAAAGTGGTGAAGGGGGTAGTCCAGAGGAGGGATAAGGCTCAGCTACGGGCCATCCGAGCTGAGGGAGAAAGATTATAGAGAAATGCGACCCAGCAGTCGCATCGACATTCCCGTGAAGAAGAACAAGCGATGGACTATACCCCGGCGAATAAGATACAAAAGAAGAATATAGCCCTCTAAAACCCTGTAAATTATATAAGCGAATATGGGCAGGCGGGTATCCGCCTACGAAATAGCACTAAACCTGGCTTACGTAGCCCAGATCGATATACTCCTAATATAAGAGCCGTCTATCCGTTCGGAGGAGAGGAGGCTCATAAGATACCACCTAGGTTTTGAGACTTTCACCCTAGTAGATAACTAGACCGAAGACCGTCCTAGGGTACTTACCTACCTCCGTAGAGGAACTAGGGTACGAGGCGTATAAACACGGCCTCTACCCGATCTATCCACAGACCTGCTCTTCTTACGACTCCTCTTAGGAACGAAGGAGGTCCTCATAGTCATTAACGTATACAACGCCCCTCGTGGCTCTCTGCGATCTGGCCAGGCTCTTAGGAACATCCTAGCGGCCTGGCAACCCAAACCTGAGGATCGAGTACTGATTGCGGGGGATTTTAACTTATACCATTGGACGTGGCAGCCCGAGGCTACGAGTTCCCCGGACGCTGAAAACCTAGTAGAATGGGCAGAAGCCGCTAGCCTTGTCCTAATGTCACCTATAGGTGAACCCACGCACAAAGGCGGCAACACCCTAGATTTATGCTGGGCGTCCAGCAACCTCCATGGGGCTTCCACCAGCATAGAAACGTTACTACATACGATATCAGACCACGAATCTCTGCTTACCCGGGTCCCCTTGGCCCTGATCGATTCACCCAGCTAGACCCCGGGAAGGTTTCGGCTCGACACGATGGACGAGGAGCTTTTCCTCGGCATCATTAAACGCAACTTACAACCCATGCGCCGCACTGTAAGCAACATCCAAGACCTATAGTCTTTAGATCTCCTAGCACAACAGCTTACGGACTGTCTTATTAAAGCACTCACGGCTTCCACAAAGCGTACGCTCGGGAAAGTACAGGGAGACCATACTGGAGCGAGAGCTGCACACGTAAACACCGAGCCTATGCGAGTAAGCGAGCGATGTTAGTAAGACTCCGCGCAGCCGGAGTGAACTGCTAATGGAAGAAGAGGAGG